ATGTAATATTCAATAATTGTTAAACTTTCAATTGTTTGTCATTGTTTTTATGTAAAGGTACCCTTAATCAAAAATGTTCATTGATCCGAATATATTTTTATCAATGACTCTCGGAACAAGATTTCAGGTCAACGATTCATTGATTGACTTCGTACGAGCGTAAAACTTGTCCAGCCGGTTTCCGAATTTTTAGAAAAAGACGTGCAAAACTTTCGACCGCCGAAACGAAATCTCCGCACTCGCAGAACGAAGATCGTGCGAGCGTTGCACAATTATTGTCACATTAAATAGACTTTTCCTAGTGAAATGAACAAGTCGTATCTTTTCTATTGACGAAGCTCGTCGTCGAGATTCCCTGAGTGAAAGCAGGTGCATGCGTTCAATGTGCAATGATCCGCTGTTTGCACATGCAAATATTGCATAATGACCGATTGCGGTCGTAATCGTTGCGACCAAGGGGAAAGCATCGTGAATAATTCTAATTAAAGACTTTTCATCGTATTCCGAAGTAGTTCTTTGTTTCACTGTTGGAATCATTCAGTCGTTAATCGAAAGTAAGAACTAAAGTTCGCGCGTTTCAGAAGGTAAAAGGTATTCAAGTTGCTCGGAAATGGAAAAGCGATTGCGTATTGGAAGGACGGTTGAGTGATCTTTCGAAAAGGGGTTCTCCAAACTGGTCGCATTCGTACCGTAAGTGGAGAAGGAAACGTTAGGAAGAGAAGCGAGGAGGAATAACGGGAGAAGAAGAAAAAAGAGAGGAGGAAACTGATCTCCGTCAGACGCGAAGAAGAACTCGAGGAAAATCGAATGAAAAATGCAATCCGTTCTATTGAAACAAGTTCTGTTCTTTCTAATATTGTTCATTCCCTGTATCATTGGAGGTAAACGCGTCGGTAAGTGAAAGGCTTTATCGACGGCGTGATTAATAATTTTTGATTAATGATTTGCCACTGATTTCTAGCGAGACTCCTTCCGGTGAGAAGCCGCGCAATGATACGTCGTGTGGGACCACTTCAAGGAAATTTCAAACCAAAGGTTTGCTACGGTAAGCAATTAAAACGATTCTAAAACACAGATTTATATTTATTGAAAAACCGCAGATCTGGTCGGATGCTTCGCGGACCCGCCGCCTCGTTTAACGCTGAAGAGACCGCCGGAGCATCCAAACGTGATACAAACAAGATTCTTATTGTACACCCGTTCGAAGAGAGACTCCCCGGATACTTTCGAACACGGTAGCGATTTTAAATCACTTCTTCGACCTCGTCTCGATGCTACCAGACCTTTGAAAGTCGTGATCCATGGATACAAAGGGAGCGGGAACGATGCTGGTGCAGTTCTATTAGCACAGGCTTTTCTAGACGCGGTACTCATTAATCATGCTTTATTTTATTCAATCGCTTTCACGTCTCATTCGTATATTTTTACATTAATTAGGAGGAGACGAACGTGTTGGTCCTCGACTGGACCAGAGGAGCAGCGACGACTTATCAAGCTGCAGTAGGAAACACCGAACTCGTGGGTCGTCAATTAGGCCTGGTCCTTCTGGACGTCATTGACTTAGGCACCAGTCCTGAAAAGATTCACGTAATAGGCTTCAGTCTAGGAGCTCACGTAGCTGGCTGTGCGTCGGAGGTCCTCAAGGCCAAAAACATTCTCCTAGGCCGAATAACTGGTCTAGATCCTGCCTCACCGTTCTTCAGGATTCATTTATTCAGGGAGAAGTATAGAAAGCTCGACGCTACCGATGCTCGTTTAGTAGACGTGATCCACACGGACGGATCCGAGGACTTCGCTGATGGATTCGGGCTGTTGAAACCTCTGGGACACGTCGACTTTTTCCCAAACGGTGGTAGGGAACAGCCTGGCTGTACGGATATCAAGAACTCCGTCGTTGTCAGTCATTTAAAAGGTACCTCGTCTCGTACCACATCGATTTAACGTTGAATTTCTCATAAACGCAGTTTACTTCTTATTTAATTTTTGAGTTTAGAAGACATGTTGACTCGAGATATTGCCTGCAGTCACTTGAAGGCCTGGGCGTACTTTTTAGAGACCGTACGCAGGGCAAATGATTCCTGCAAGTTCATCGCTTGGCCCTGTTCTCGAGGAAGAGCCACGTACGCCAACGGTCTATGCTTTCCTATGGAATCCACGATGTGGTCCCAGGAAATGGGATATAGAGCCGATCGTGGCTCTTTAGGGATCTACTATTTACCAACGAGAGACCAAGAACCATTCTGCGGTAATCTAAAATTGGTATATTACATAATTTATAGTTTTAACTGTTTTCTTGCTTCGCTTCAGGCCAGGCTGTGAGGGCTGCGGTGATCACTTCGAAGGATGCCCCCAGAACGACTGGGACGTTGTTCCTAAAAATTGTAGAAAGCAATTCGACCGTCAATTTCAAATTCAGATACTCGTAAGATTTGATAATACTACAATTTATCACTGTCACTCATTTATTCTGATTAAATGTTCCTGTTTACCAGGAATAAAGGCAACAAACAGTCGACGTTTTATAACATCGCTGCGATGAAGTATGAACTTTTGTCGGACGATCGATCAACGATAAAGGCACGCGCTTCATATCAAGTAAACAGGGGCGAAGACAAAGAAGATACGATTAAAACACGAAATTCGGACTTGCTGTTCGTTGATAAAATTATACTCGAGGATAGAAAGGGAAACAAGTAAGAGTGACTTTGATTACCTTCGTGCAAATTACAGGAATTGCCTTTTTTTATATTTTTGTCTTTCAGGTGGGAGTCGTGCACCTCCACTCCGGTGAATTTGCAGGAGACAGAAGTGTTGCTGCATCGGAAGCAATGCGGTTCTTCTTAAGAAACTTCTTCTATTATACAGAAATGTCACAGGAAATTATGTTCACATGAATAATGAATAATAAAAGAATTTATATAATAATAAGAATATACATAATAACGTTCAAGAGTAATCAATTGTTTATTCCAAGCTGTTTTTCTTTCAACCTACCGAAAATTGTTTCAGACAAAAGTTGTAGCAAAGAGAAAAATAACGATGAACGAAATAATCGATTATTCTGAAATATTCGAGATAGAAAAATATTATCCCCCTACGTCCATCCGTTCGGGAGTTATTGAGGAAAAACGAAAAGTCTTTTTAAAAGTTCACAGATTGGACGGGCGAATTGCAGAATCTGAAGGCGAATTCGCTCGTCGAATCTGTGAACTTTTAAAAAGACTTTTCGTTTTTCCTCAATAACTCGCGAACGGATGGACGTAGGGGGGCGTATGTACGCTCATTTTGTAGGGGACGACGAGATCTACAATTCCTGCCTAACAAGAATTAGCTAGTGCCAATAGTTAACGAGTTATTTGCAAAAAATGAAAAACAGTTATTTGCAAATTACTCGTTAACTATTGACGCTAGCGAAGAATTTTTACATGGAGATTGTAGATCTCGTCATCCTCTACAAGAAAGGTCCTATGCAATTTTCCCGTATCTCCAAGGGTTTAGGAGTTATTGAGGAAATACTAAATTTTTTGTCAAAAGTTTGCTGATTTGACGCTGGGATGGTCGGATTTTGCCAATACCCATAAAATGCCAATTAATCGTACTTAACGCGTTAAATACTTAAGTTAGAAGAAAAATACATAAAATCTTTCTTGTAGAGGACGTCAGTACCTACAACATCTGTATACAAAATTTTTTGTATTCGTCAATGTTACATAACCAGAAAAAAAAGTGTTTGAGAATCGCGCGTTAAAGCCGAGCACGTCAGAATCGCATATAACCTATCTGCATGTGCTATCGATGATTCCGTACCGGTAGAAATAAATAATGCGAACGATGTCTCGCTTAATTAATCTTCTGGTATTAAACAAGTGCCCGAGTCAAGCATTTAGAACCGTAAGTGCATAAAGATCGTCGAGTCGATTGGACGGGTTTTAAACATGTCATTACTTTCCAGCGTTTACCGAACCCCAATCAATATTATTTGCAAATCAAGCGTGTAAATACGTCCGCATATTTGCGAAAGTCGAGCAGTCGGATAGGCGATCTTCGCGGCAAGAAATCTATTTTTGACAAGGCTCTCGTGACATGGAAAAGTCTGGCAGTCACCGGCGTGTTGGGCTCAATTTTTTTGACATACATGTACTATTTGCAAGCGACGAAGGACAAGCAGTTGGAACGTGAAAGGAGAAGGGAGTTGGGCAAAGCAGCGATCGGTGGAAAGTTCGAACTGGTCGATCCTCAAGGAAAGCTGGTCAGATCGGACGATTTCTTAGGGCAATGGGTCCTGATATACTTCGGCTTCACTCACTGCCCTGATATATGCCCGGACGAACTTGAGAAACTCGCGGCAGTCGCTAATTCCTTAGGTATCTAATAAAGTTATTCACTGTACTTTGTCCTATTGAGAGCATTTCAAATGCCTTTGAAGTGAATGACACGTTTATTTTCAGAGAAGGAACATAACATGAAAGTACAGCCCATTTTTATCTCTGTGGATCCAGAGAGGGATACACCAGAAGTTGTTGGGAAGTATGTTAAAGAGTTCTCTGACAAGATCCTTGGATTGACAGGAAACGTAGAACAAATCGCGAAAGTATGCAAAGCATACAGAGTATACTTCAGCAGTGGACCCAAAGTCGACTCCGATTACATTGTCAGTGATTCTTGTTCCTCAGTTCGCTTCCTTCTACTCGAAGCAATATTTTAATCTGCTCTATTACGTTGCAGGTTGATCACACGATCATCATATATCTGGTAGATCCCGATGGCCTGTTCGTCGATTACTATGGCCTGACGCACACTGCAGAACAGATTGTACATAGCACCTGCATAAATAAGGCGAAGTACGATAGAATAAAGAGCGATTCCTGGCTTCCGTCGGTGCCACTGAAGAATCCGTTGGCAGCGTAATTTTATTTGTATTATATAATAATTGTTTAATAAATAAGTTAGCTAGATATGTCCAAGAGTAAATGTTCGTAAAATGCGAATCAATAAATTTGTATGAAGTCGAACGTCAGTATTTTCTTACGTGGAAACAAATAAATACTTTTAACCATTGAAAAATGCTAGTATCTTAATTTTGACAAACCTGGCAGATCGTAGTAGTCCCAGTCGATTCACTGGGAGTAGCTGGCACGTCGGATTCGATGCATTTGCATTCCATACCTCCGGAATATGTAGAAAATAGATAGAATGTAAATGCAAAATGTATTATTTTTTATTTCACTTGCTCTTTATTTACATTAAAATGATAATCGGAACTTAGTCTTATGAAACAGTTAAAAAACCTCTTACAATGTCCAAGTATGTACAACGTTTGAATCTTCTCCGATATTAATTTCAACAAGAAAGTTACAATTTGACATCATTAGATGAATAACTAATTATAATACGCGAGATGACGTTATTGCAAGGGCGTAAAATGCGTTCTCATTTTTAAAAGATTTAACATACATATTATTCTGTGCTAAATGAAAATACAACGTTTTTACAATAAATGTATATATACTCGGTTAGAAATTTAGTTATACCAGAATGTGTATGAAGCATGTACAAATTGACCTATATTACAATCAATAATAAGTAATTACAGACGTATCTACATACAGGAATTTCGATATACTTCTCTAGCGGATATATTACAATATTTCAAATTGAAAGATTCATGTAATAAATAACAATTCGATTTATTCATACCGTTGATTAGCTACGGAATCAATCCTCGTCTGTACCTTTCTGATAAACCGCACCGAACTTGCTCATGTACTTTCGCACGAAGTCTTTAGCCTTGTGTTTAACGTTCTCGTTACACTGCAGCTCGTCCACGCTTTTACAGTGTTTCAACTCTTTCGCAAGTACAAAATGCGTAAGCTAAAACACGAAGAAGCAGACTATGTATTTCATTTGTCAAACATCTCCGACGATATACGAACCGAAGAAGAACGATCCGATCTGAACGTACCTTCCTAGCAAGGTGTTTGAAATCTTCCGTATTAGTTATCCTCCCTTGCTTGCAGTCATTTTTTCTGTACGGATTCAGAAAATGTACCATCACGTTAGCCATATTTATCCTGAACATGTCCTTGATCTTCCTCTCAGACATCGTAGACAAATCACCCGAGGACAATTGCAATTTGTTCAAATGACGCGAGTGCGACTTAGACTTGCTGCTACGCCGATGTCTACGAACTTTGTCAACGTGCTCTTTGAACTTCGCTCGTTCCTTCTGACGACGCAGCTTCTCTTTTATCCCCTTGTGCGCTTTATGATCCACGCGATCCTCTTCTCGTCGTGGCTAAAGAATGAATAAACTGATTTCGATGTTCTAACGCCGGTCCAAGTAATGAAAAAAGAAAATAACGTACGCTAATAATTCTCTCTTGAACGAGTCCCTCCCTTCTCTTCTTGTTCTCCGGGAATAACGTGGAACCACCGACCAAGCTTTTGTCGGCAGCCTTTTTAACCGCGTTGCGTTTGGTACCCTCCAAAGGTTTGTCTACCGAACTGTTGTCCGAGTTCATATCCTCGGACTTCGGTTCTTCGTTGCTCTCCTCGTCGATCTCTTCGTCCTCGTCGTTCGACGAACTGGATTCGTCGCTGGATTCCGAGGTCGACGAGGAATCCGGTTGAACACCGATGTGGTCAGGCGCAGGCGGTAACCACTGCGGTATCCTCTCTTTAACGTGATAATAGTACCTTCTACCTCTAGCGTCAGTCGCGCTCTTCCACTTCGGAGGCAAATCTATCGGCGGTATTTCAGGCTGCTTATACTGTTGCTCTGTTTGCTTGTCCTGCTCGTAGAGCTCGCCCTGAAGCGCGGCCGACGATGTCCCAGCGATTTGGCTCTCTGAATATTGACAATGGGACATCATCGAGTACCCCGGCGTCGTTTGATTGAACACAGGCGTTTGGTTCGGCGTATACACCACCGGTGGTACGCCCGACGGAATCTCCGACGACAATACATGCGAACCCTGAGTCTGTCCGCTCACGTACACCGGAGTACACTGCTGAGTCATTTCTCCGTCTGTAAATTAGTGAATTAAAATGAATATCAAACGAACTGATCTTTAAATAAGTTCAATCGAATACCTTGCGCGGGATACTGTTGCCACTGTCCGATAGACGTATTGTAGAAAACAGGATATCCCGTTTGCGGGTCTACCATAGCGGTAGAATGAGGATCTATGCCTAACGCTAGGCACCTGTTCTCGTGATCTTGCCACGATTCTTGCTGCTGACGACGTTGCCGTTCCTCCTCTTCTTTAGCAACTTTCATAGCGAACAACTGTCTGCGCTCGTACTTGGTCATCCGAGGAATCGGAACCAAGCTACTCCTTTCTTCAACCCTTTTATCTTTGGAACGAGAATGGTCGGATTCCGGAGAATCTCCTCGCCGTCTCCTGTCGCGCTTCTCCGTCTCGCTTCTCCCGAATCTATCGGATCTGTACCTGTCATAAGATGTGCTCCGCTTGTCCTCCTTCTCCAATTCCTCTCTGTAGCCACGGTCTAAAAACAGAAATTTATATAAGCAAAACGATCGTTCGATTGTAATCAACGTTCGATTCATTACCTGCTTCTCTTTCGTGCTCCTTCATCTGTTCGATTCGTTCTTTCTTGGGTATACGGAACACCTCTTTCAAATTCGACCATTCGGCCAAAAGACTCGAAGCTAGTTCAGGGATAAGATTCTGGACATCCGATTTCGCGTCACCGATGTCAAGCTCTCGTTTGTCTAAATCAGATAATTGATAGCTTTTTTTGTCCTCGTTGTCGTCAGTGCTGGGCTTTAATTTTCCTTGATCATCTTCGGGCGATTCCTCGCTGGGAGCGAAGTACGACTGCCTGGACCACTTTTGTACCACGTTGTAAATTTTGCTGTCCATCAGCATCGTTTTGTTCGGAATCGGAAGCTTGTACAGAGTCTTCAGAACTTCTAATCGAAACTGTCGAGCCTCTTCGGAATCGTCCTTAGATATATCCATAACGTAGCTCCAAATCAGTCGTAAACCATGATAATCTAAGAACAATCGTCGACAGGGTTGCTCTCCGCTTTGTATGAGACGCAGAAGACGCGTCCTGTGCTCTAACTCCCTGCTACGAACCATCAATCTGCTCAAAGTTAACGTATGAGCTCTGTTCTTCAAACCAGCCGAACACAACTTGTTTATTTCCTCCTCTAGATCTTCGTCTTCCATGTAATCAGCCTGTTGCTTCTTCTCGTTCTGAGGCTTACTTTCTTCTTCCTTCTCGCGTTTCTCCTTCTTCTCGATCTTTTCCATTTCCTCCTCCGGGGTCTCGCCGATCCAACCGCGGCAATTGAGCGCTTCGCAAAAACATCTTTGTGCCTCTTTGCCGTATCGTTGGAAATGATAGTCGAACGTTATCTCCTCTCCAGCGGTTATGAATTTCTTATTAAAGAAGCCTATCCTCAATTCACCGTTCACCGTCCATTTCTGCGTCTCGGAATTAGGGTCGCAGCTGTGATTAATGAATCGCGAAATGTTTCCCTTCATCGTGGCGTCGATGATCTGATCGTTCTTCAATGCCATGAAATAGTAGTGCTTATTTTTATCCTTCGAGTATTCCTTCGCCCTACGCCGGAAGTCTTTCGGATCGACCACTTCGCCCACGTACTCCATTATAAATTCGCCCGCGTCCATGTCGACCGTGGCTCGTAAGCCGAACCCCTTTTTCTCAGTCCTGAACACCTCGCACTTCGCGTACTCGCAATTTTGAAATCTCTTGTTTGTACAACGATCGCCTACCACGCAACGCGGTCCGCACTCGATCATGAGAAGCCTGTTCAGACAATCCTCCCCGCAGCCAAGTTCTCCTCTCTCGATCTCCTCCTCCGTTAAAAAGCAATCGCACACCATCCGTTTGGTCTCCTTATTCGTGTACCTCTCTGTTAAATACAGATTCTCGCGCAATAACTCGAACTGGCTCAGTCTCTCCTCCATTTCTCTATCTTTCAACTCGAGAACCATGGGCAGCGATATTCTAGCTCCTACAGTTTTTGGAATTTGTACGGTGCACTCGTTGTTCGAGGGTAACGACGTTTCCTTCGCCTGTTCCGTGTCCTGGCAATTGTTCGACAACGATGCAGACGTAGAATCGGAGGAATGAACGTCTGCTGCGAGGCTGGTCGAGGATTTGAGCATGGCAGACAGTGGTACGGTCGATGTCATTTTAGCTGCAGCTGCGATTATGCATCCGATAGAGGCTTCGATACTTGCCGCGCTACCCATCTCCAGTTCGCTCGATCTTCTCCAACGAGACTTCACTTTGACCGGTTTCGAGGAATCCGAGTCGTAGCCAGTGCAACCGGCGCAATACGACGAGAGGTCAAAAGCGTTGGCCGTCTTAACGTTACTCTCTTTGTCCGATTGTTGTCCACCACTGTCCGGTGGATTTTCTGCTTTTACTTCTTGAGCAATTGGGGCAGCGTTGTTAGCTTTTTCTCGTTCTTGCTGGGCAGTCGATTTCAATATATCTAGATTAGGTTTCATAACTAAACCACGTCCACGAGATCTTTGCTTCATTAATCCAATCGATCTAATTCTACTGCTTCTCCTCACTCCGGAACTGTTCGAACCGCTCTCCGAACCCGTCGTGTCTGTACTACCGCTTCTACTTCTGAACTCAACCTTCTTCTCAACGTCGCTGGAACTGATGTTGTTAGACTTTGTATCAAATTCTGTTATTTTACAATTGTTTATAGACGGAAACATGTCGTTACTGTTTTCGCTGCTACTACAGACTTTCGTATCCTCCGGGTCGTTCTTACTATCCACTTCGTTGTCACCGTACGAGTCCTCGTTCGCTATTTTTCTATTCTTCTTATCCGACGAAACGTTTGATTTGGTACTACAGTCTGATTTGCTCGATTCCGTTAAAGAGGAACTGTTCGTCTGATGCAGCTGCTCCATTTTATCTAATATCGAACAGCTACTCTCGTCGTCGACGCTTATGGGTGGTATCACTTTCTCCGTGTTACAGGCAATTTGTAACGGCGACATTACGCTCTCCATGTTCGATAAATCATTCACTAAATTCTGTATCTCCTTCGACGGCTGACTCATTTGCATATCCGCTAATTCGTCGTTTATCTTATTAAACACATCGTCCTTCGAAGTCGTATTCGTGTACCGATCTTTATCCGAACTTTTCCGACCGTTGATTTCGTTCTCGCTATGATTAAAATTTCCTAAAATATTTTCACCTACATCGTCGGAAGCGATTGGCACATCTCTACGCAAAGCTGACACGGAATTGTCGATCTTCGTTTTATGCGAACTACATTCGTCGTCGGGCGCGTCCCTCGAATCCGACTCCATGCCAACCTCGTTTTGTATCACAGAATAATCTACTAAATTTTTCATTTTTAAAGGACTATTAGAGAACTCTATTTCCTTTACTACTACGTCGTCTTCGTCGTCGTCGTCGTCGTCCTCATCTTTGGACGCGTAACTATGATCTTTAAACTGCTTGTCGTCCACCTCCTCGCATATTACGGTCTCCTCTATTACGTCTCCTGGCCATACCTCGACCTCCTCGGATTCCCCCTTGTTTGTACTACCGATGAAATGCTTGACTACTTGCGGAACAACCTCGGGAACAGCCTTATTCGATTTACCATCTATACCGTCTTGACTATCGCTCTCGCTAGGATCCTTCTTGTACTCGGACGTCATCGAATATGAACACTCTTCGTTATTTACAATAATACTATTAGAAACATTCTTGTGTTTGTTATGTTTCCTAGATGAATGCTGATTCTTCTTGGGAACCGGCTGGTTTTGGTATTCTGAGTTACTCCTACCATCCTCCGCCTCCCCCGGATACGATGATATTTGTAAAACATCGCCATTCACCTTCTTCTCTTCCAACTGCTTTTTGGCTATTTGTCTACTAGATTTTCGAACAGGTACATACTTAACAGTCGACTTAACGGATGATTTCATATCGTTTTTACGTTTACGGGCCATCGTGATTCCATTCACTCTAATCTGAAACGTGCAAAAGGGAAGGAGTCGATGAAAAAAATGTGTGCATCACGCGAACCAGTGCGGCGGAGTCAGAAGAAGATCGCGAGCGAAATATCGTATAAAAATAGACCACCATTTTGTCTGTATTGCAACAACGAGGATACTACTACTATGAATACAGATTTTAGCATCTTGCCTCTGTTTATATAATAAATTGTAGTTCCCAAACTAATTGCCGAGGTTATACAGTCGCCTCGTAGTTTATTTGCAACGTAAATACGTAGGGAAGAATCCTGTACGCAAACGAAGCGACGAGGAAACGTTGAGCAACTGTGCTGGCAACAGAGAAACAGACGAGCATCGAGTGGTTCTAGAAATGAAAGAGCTCGACTTACGTCGAACGGGAATGCGTTACTTGTTTTTCGCGAGCAAGTATCACTCGGAATTCCAATATACGAGGATCATTGAATCATTTTAACTTTCGCTCTGCTGCAAGAACAGTTGACAAACACGGTGGTAACGCGTTCGATCTCGTGGTATCGGAATGGATTCGCGGGTACTCACCGTACGTCCCTAATATTCCGTATTCGGATTTCATTCGAAGCATCGTTTGAAACGTTTCGTGGACACCATCATCTCTGGTGATAACGCGCGCGTTTCTGCGATCGTTAAAGACCCAGACGAAACGCAGACGTAACACGGTTATCAGGAATCATCTTCACGTCGGTTTAAAAACGTTTGTTCGAGGCTAACGATTTCGATGGCTGTTAAAAGATCTCTGTGACAATGTACAATCGTGCACTACACGTCGACGATACGAATTTTAGGCATCAACATAGATGCAACGTGAGTAAGTACTGCCTGGATTCCCTCCGATTGTTTCACTCTCGTCGTTCAGTCGCCTCCGATCTAAATGGAGCGAAAACCTCCGCCGAGCCTCTCGTCCGTCACCTGTGTATTCTCGTATCCGATTTATGGTTTGTTTAGGCGGACGTCGATCACCTGAATGAATTCATCACTGAGAAGGGCGAGGAAAGTGCGATAGTTGAATGATAAAATTTGTATCTTCTCGAGCGTATACGCTACTCTGGTCGCCCACTGAATATTGCTTGTTTTTAACAATACCGACCGCACGCACGAGCAAGATGCAAGGCTGACGCTTTGGTGATTTCACCAGGAAGATTGTTATTTCATAAACCTCGATGTTCCCTAGGCGCATCGCTAGCCAAAAATGCATTCTTTCGTTGTTTATCCATTTAGACGTTACACGTACAATCCCGCATTATTCTAATCGCCTCGTCTACGCTAACTTATCAATTTATTTAATCCAGATTACAAATAAACGTTTCGGTCGTTGGAAGTAACCTTGTCAGATCATTCCGTGTCCCACTCCTTCTCTGTCTCTCGAAGACGTTACGAAAACCGGTATTTCCGACGTTGATCATGTTCGTAACGGGTTCCAATTTCTTCGTTTACCATACGGTCGGGTGATCAATTCATTTTTCAGAAACGGTATCGCTCAACGAGAGTTCTCTTTTTCTGATGCGTGGCGTAACGATACTTGGTACAGTGCAACTTTTAACGTTATAAATCGTATCGTTACGTACGTGATAGATTCGACACTCCTGTCAATCCGCCGACGATATTTTCAATTCTATTAAATTATTGATATCTGTAAATATACGTACGTACGAACAGTTACAAAAAGCACTGACAAACTGACGATGTCCTGTTGATTGGTCAAACGCGAGAATGGCCGTTCCTATCATTTTAAATTCGAGCCGAGGAACATTTTATTACAGATACATTTGAATCAACGATTTCGTCCCGATCGAATAATGTCCATTAACGTCACTGTTAATGGGAATCGTTTTAATATACGCCGGGGAAGAATGGTACTGTCCGATTTAGATCAGATTAAGAAAAATGAACGGGACCGTCGACGAAGGTTACGCTTGGAACAGGTACGCGTCTTATAAATTATTTACGAACTTGTGAAACACTCGTCGAGTAGGAGGATATAATTTCGTAATAATTTCTTACGTTCGTTGTGCGAACGTAAAAATTATTACCGCCACTTGGACACAATAGTAATTATTTTATTACACTGAAAGTAGATAAAGTATTAACAAGGAGATTCGTAAAAGAACGGAGGAATCAATTAAGGAATTTACACAGGTGCGACAACAATCTAAAGAGATATCAGACAGGCTCTTGGAGCGTACAAAAAACATAGCCAAAGAGGAGTTTAAAAAGCTTGAGGATAACAGTAAACTGAAGGAGATATACAATGGGAAAATTATGGAAGTTCAGCAGAAGTATCAAGAGGACATGGCAGACATCGGTCAGGCACATTTGTCTGCTGCATTAGAACCTGATCACGATGCCTTAATAGAGGAGAAAGAAAGGAGAAACAAGTCAGCCGCGACAAAAAGAGGACAGGAGGCGGTAAAACAGGTGAAGGAGTCTCAACAGGTGAGGACCCTTCATTTTCATTACATCTACTATGGAATTTATTCAAATGAAAATTTACAATTTGTACAGAGAGAGACTGTGCAACAACATCAGCACCAGGAGAGATTGAGACAAGTGAGAGAATTAGAGAATCTCAGGGCTACTATGATAGCACAACTCTCTAAGAAATCAGTACCTGAACCAAGCACTATATGTATCTCTGTACAAAACGAAATCGACGATGAAGATAGACAGCAAGATGGCCATAAAAGGACGAAGAAACTCGGTACTAAAAAGTCACCTATAAAGATTTCGAAGGCGAAACCTAAAACGAAAACGTTTGAAGTTAATCGAGAGCAGGATAATTTAATCTTGGAAGAGGAATCTTTTCCTCAGTTGACCGAGGAATCTGTTCCTAAATCGGTCGAGCAATCTGTACCTAAATCGGCCGAGCAATCTGTACCTAAATCGGTCGAGCAGTCTGTTCCTAAATCGGCCGAGCAATCTTTAAGAACTGAACCCGAACGCGTTGACGAGATTCCTCGAAAGGAAAGGATGGAAACCGCGAATGTTCCGTCGAAGGTGGACAAATCGGCGAGGTATGTATAGGACTATTTAGATTAACGAAAGGAATAATAGTCTCTGATTGTCGTTTTGGGTGTTGAAGGTATAATCCGGAAGACTATGTTCAAACAAGTTCGGATACTACCTATAGCGATAGTTCTAGTTCGTTTAGTGATGACTCGTCATATTTTTCCGATAGCGGCGAGCAATTTAGAGAAATAAACCAGCCGAGGTACGTTAAGTGTCCTGGTAGCGACAAGGTACAAGTGTACGATCACAATAGGCATCAGAAAAAAGTGTACGATCAGCCGGTCGGCGTAGTTGAGAAAATACAAACGTGGAACGAGGTTCGTATAATGAAAGTAGGTATCGTTAATTTATATATAAAAGTATTGTTGTTTCATGTTCGCAGCCGAGCGCGACGGACTTGGCTCAGGAAATAGAACGAGCGCAAACTGCGGAATCGCATTTGTCCGAGAGTCGTAAGCAAAACGCACAGAAACGCGGGGAGGACGCGGTATTGAGAGAAAAGGTGCGCCGGGATTATCAAACGCTTATGCAAAATCTAGATCAGCTCGCGAGCGAAGAACGGAAGCTAAAAGCGAGTCAAGCTGTAAATTACCCAGTAAGCATTTTATATCTTTCAATTCCGTACTGTGTATTGAAATAATTTTATATCCTATTTATCTAGAAGGATGTCTACATACAGGAAGAACGGAGGAGGCTACTGAGGGACCAGCACAAGCAGAAATTAAATCGCGCTATGAAAACTTTATTAGACGGTGAATGTTTGGCCCCGTGTGCGCCGAGACCTACAGAGAGGCAAATCACTCTCGCACCGATAGAACGTGATAAAAAAAGGAAGGACATCCAAGCTACTTGGGAGGATCCTTCTTCTCCCAATCAACGTACAGTGAGGAGAGACGCGCAAAGTAAATACAAAGGGAACGAGAGTTCGCGGGAGGTACAGATACTGGATATGTTGAAGAAGGTCGAGAGACAGAAACGATTGCTGCTGCAAGAATTCGGTGCAGATTTACCTGATGATATTTTCAACGCGTCCATAAGACCTCTCTTCGAAAAGGATAAATCGGTTCAGACTCAGCCGACCGATGCACCGGACGCACAGGTTTGTAGATCTCCCGAGATCAAGGTGATAGATGTGTCTTTAGAAGAGAAGAGTAAAAAGGATAAGAAAAATAAGAACAAGGAGAGAGCAGATCCATCGACAGAAAGGAAGGAGATCGCTGTACAAACTATGACAGAGGACGAAGTAGTTCAAGATAAAGGAACGCAGGTAGAATTGATACAAGAGAAGGAATCCTCTATTAAAGAAGATAGGAGAGTTAGACATCATCCACTGGAACCGGAGGTTATAATAATTAGACCGGACGTAAATAGCAGTAATTCGACGAGTTCCGACACTCTGCGCGAGGTTTCCGACTTAGAAAAGGAGAGTCCGAAAGTAACACCTAAAAGAAAAAAGTATAGCGTAAAGACTGCGAGGCAAACACCGTCAAAGACGTCTTATAAATCGGTTCGCAAAATTGTTCCCAAGTCTCCTGCAAAGAAAGTCTCGAAGTCTAAGACTCTTAGTCCGAAGAAAACCCCGAGTAAAGCGGATGTGCCCAGTAAAAGGATCAAAATGTACGTGGATAAAAATGGAGTGAACATCAAAGTGAAGCCACCAGAGGTGGCAGAAATCCTCGTGGACGTGAGCACACAATGCGCTCAAGAAATTGCAGTAGGCACCGAGAAACTGGGAAGAGTGGCCGAGACCAAACAACAGTGGACTCATTCTAAGTCGTTTAAAATGAAAGACATTTCAGACACGTCGACGTCTTTTGCTAGTCCACCTCCGATAAGGCCTAGAGACATACTAGAAGCTCTGAGCAATAACATATCTATCCTCGAGATGTTAGATTCTTCGGCGAACGAGAGCTTGAAACGTTTGAGAAGGGACGTTAGCCCGGTGTCGACACCGGAAACACCTTCCCCGAGAACCATGAGGATGCCCTCGAATATTCCTCATCCAGAAAAGTTTAAAAGATTATTTCACTATTCGTCGACGGAGTCTCAGACGAACGATTATCGACAGACCACTACTTCTCCACCTAAAAGCGACACGTCGACGAGTTCGTCGAACGATGGGCCAGAGCATATACCTAATGCGTATTCGAGGGGTCCGGTTTCATTAGAATTCTGTCTGTGCCACAATCCGGAATGTAGAAGAGTGCATGCGAGATTCGAGGAGATCCGTAATTACGCGTTAAAGAATTGTCCTCACATGTTACGGAAGTACGACGACCTCCAAAACACGTGTGCGGAGAGGATCATCTCTTTGACGAATCTCATTGAGAAAGTTCGAAACGAACAAAAAGGTAAATGAAACTGTTATTGTTATTAGAATTGAACGTAACTGTATAATTGTTCTTAGGTATGGAATTCTCTATGATCGATCCGAGCGACGATACGAGTTTGATGCAGTTACCACCGCCGCAAATCGCGACGAACGATTTGGAAACTGTCCACAGGCTAGTGGAGAACATCGAAGCGATACACAACCAATTAGCCAAGACTCTGATAGAGTCTCAAAAGATTGTAAAAACTAAAACCGCCGTCGATGAAAGCGAGGAGATTAAAGAAACGGAGAAAGGAACTTCGACCGAACGAAAAGCGGAAGATAAAGTTAAACCGAAGATCGTGAGCGTCGAGAAGGTAGACATTGCTATGGACAGATTCAAAAGGCTGGCGCCGTCGGCGATGACGTCCACGCCGGAACGCGACGATAAACCCAGCGAGGAAGAGGTGATAGAAAGATTGTCGAAAGAAATCTTGGAACAAAGTAAGGGTCTTAATAGTAATTTAGTAACGTCGAAAGACATATGCACCTCGACTATAAATCTTTCGGTACAAACGCCGACGGATAATATAATTAGAATCGAGAATTCTAAAGTACAAAAAGAACGTGGGTCTGTAAGAGATTCTGACAAAGAGGTAATTCATACTTTCAACGTCTTCGAGTTTCTTTGATTAATGTTTAATTATCTTTTTTATGATTATTTTTCCAGGCAAAGGGAACTAAAGACTTCGTGCCGTTACTCCACGATATTCCGAAGGTGGTGTCGAGAATGGTTGACAATTCCGCGCACGTTAATGGTAGAAGTAAACCACCAGTGAGTTTACTAAGCGGACCTTATAGGTGACATTTTACTTTATTTTTATTATTTCTTAACTATGTTCAATTCGTATATAATTTAACGCAGTCATGACAAAATCGTAAATAATTGCAGGACTGAGATCGACTCGTCAGGCCACGAGTTGTCGACGATAATAGAGTTTGACACGCCGGACACGGTAAACAGAAGTCAGGGTAATATCAGGAGTCCGTTGTCCGCGAGGAAGGTAACGGAAACTCAAATGAAGAAGTCCACAGCTATAGTCAAACCGTCGGGACACATCACCCCTTCGCGGTCTGATAAATTACGGGATCCTACGATCGCGAAACTCTCGCAGGAAATAAAAGAACCTTCGATATTCTTCGATTCACCGATAACGTCTAAAAATGTAGAATCTCAAGATTTGAACAAGGAGCTGAAGGATGAGATACTGCAATGCGACACAGTCGATCGGGGATCGACGCAAGCGGAGGAATGCAAGGACAAGGACAAGATAACGTCTTCGAGCTCGAACAGTTTTTCGGAACTGTCCGGAGTCTCACAGATCGCGAGTACTCCTTCCTCGACTCTGTTAAGGTACGCGTCGTCTCCGGAGGAGATGGAGACCGCGCTTAAAAAACTTGGTCTCGGTTGGGCGATCACCACGTTGAAGAAGACGCGCGAGGCGAGCGCGTTGAGTTCATCCTCGAACTCCGACACGCCGATAAACACCGCGAAAAGGATATTGTCGCCGGTTAAAAAACAGAACAATTACGGTTTGCTAGATTTCAGCGACGTGTCCTCGATATCGATAAAAGAAGCTAGCAAAAGTACCGAGCAAGCGGTTCTAATGAAAGGCAGAACTTCGACGCCGAAGTTGCAACAGAATTCCAACAGCGAATCTAACAGTAGCAATACGAACAACTCCGAAAATTTTCAAGTACCCGAGGAGGGTCTAATAATTCCTAATGTATCTTTGACCAAGACGAAATCTAACGTTAAGAATTTAGAAAATCTATGATTAATGTTTATACCTTCGTCTAGCAGACTTTGTTACGAATATACAATAAATCAATTATTTTTAATTACGTCAGCGTACGATTAACTTTTTTCCTGAATCCTGTCCCAAACTCCGGTGCTCTTTTTATTCTTCCTGAAGGAGATGACGTGAGGCTGGGCTCTGAAAAATGGTCTAACAATTATTAACTTCTTTAACAATACATAGTAACAGACTTTTAACAAGCAAAAGAGAAAAATATCTTTATATTTCCTTTTGTACAGTCATTTAAAAAGTACAAAATCGTATTCCTTTGATCACAACAGCTTCTATAATGTTTTCTATCTTTATATGTGTATACCTCTTCGTTCCATCAAAATTAACATTCGTAAAAGATAAATATTATTTATGATATCCTGTTTGTTATATTACCTTGTGTCATTCGTTCGAAGTTTACTTAATAGTATTATCAGGTATTATGCAAACTTGTCAAATATAAAAATGTATATTAAACTGATTATTGCACTGTATTCGTTCCCATAAAAAGACATTTAAACATTGCAGATGGTCCAGATAGACGAGGAGAACAATGTTCTCTTTTCTCTTTTGTACAAAATTCGTTAGCTACTTACATATAATAAATACAATTAGTGCTCGTATGATTTTACCGTAGCGCCAGGAATTATTAGTTAATAGTTTCATTTCCGGTTTAAATGATTACATGCGGATCGTACCATTGTACGAAGACTGACATCTCGGCCTTCTTCATAAAGGCGAATCCTCCTCGCATAATTGATATTAACTTATAAATATCAATGAAATATATTATATTAAATAACAGCATTCAACTCCATACGTCGCTCGAGTAACGTTTCTGTGCGTCCATTTTCTTTATATAATCTGCGGCATCCATCTCTGACATCTTTCCCTTCTCCATTACTACTTTCAATAAAATATTGTGCACGTCACGTGCCATATTTTTCGCATCACTAAAAACGAGTAAATTAGTTTCTTGAAGACTCTGTGCTTACACCGCGTGACTAAAAATTCGAAATATTCTACTGACCCGCAGACGTAGATGTGTCCGTTCTGTTCGCCGATGACTCTCCATAATTCGTCTTTGTTCTGCTCCAGTAAATGCGTAACGTACACCTTTTGAGACTGTTCCCTACTGAACGCAGTGTGCAATATCAAAGAGCCGTGCTTCACGTACTCATTGAGTTCGTTCTTATAAAGGAAGTCTTCGTCTCTCTTTCGGCATCCGAAATACAAAATTGTGTCTCCTACATCTTTTCCTGAGAGTGGAACATTTTCACAGATACGTAACTACGTCTGACCGCGTTTGATAGAGGAACGAGATGTGACGATTACCTTCCTTTCGCGCGAGGTCACGCTCCATGATGAACGCTCTGAACGGTGCTATGCCGGTACCAGGGCCGACCATGATTATAGGAGTCGACGTCCTGGGTGGTAAACGGAACTGCGACTTCCGCACGAAGATAGGAATGTAACACGGTGGGTCCGAAGGATGTTTCTCTCTGAGCCAACACGTGGTCACACCTTTGTTGACTCGGCCCGTGGGCGTTTTGTATTCCACCACGACGGCAGTAATATGGATCGAAGTCGGGTGTAGCTGAACAGATCAATCGAACGATCGATTAACCAATTAACCTTTTACTTAATCGTAGATTTACCTTAGGAGACGAGGAGATCGAATAATAGCGGCACTGTAATCTGGGCAAGAGTTCACAGAGATGATCCAGAGCTGGCTTCACGCTGGGAATATCTTCTAAGATGTGTACGATATTTCTATTATCTTGAACTATCCATTGTTGATACGCAGCTTTGCCTTCCGCAGTGGTCGAAGCCATCAGCTTCAACTTTTCTTTGTCCTTCGGATCGCTACAGTACTCAGCCAGTTCTTTAAGAACGTGAGTGCGCGGATTGCTAGTTATGTCTAAGTAATGAGTCAAGGCAGTTCTGTAAGAACACGGACAAGGGAACGGGTGCTTCTTCGTAGATTCCTCTGTAATACAGAAAACAATCTAATCAATCGAATCAAATATTGAACCAAGATCGTACATCGGTAATTTAATTTACCATCCGTATTCGTAAGAGTGATGACTGTATCTAAATCGACGCCGCATTTCTCTCCAATTTTGTTCACTAGTTCCGCGTTATTAACCGGGTACACCGCTAAATGGTCACCGGCTTCGTAACGTATTTTCGATCCGTCCACATCGAATTCTATGTGCATACACGATCTCTCCGATGTGGGCCCGTGAAGTTCGCGGTTCACTTTCACCGGAGCCAGGAATGGATTCTTCGCGTCGAACGGTCTACGGAAGAAAATCGCGATGTTCGAACCAAGCCATCACCGGAGCGATAAACGAATGAATTGAACGTACGCTCTTTGATTGGCAAAGGAATGGAGGCGTGCGATTTCACCGGTGTAAACACGGTCAGCTGGTAAATCGTTGTGCTCGGTGAGTTTGTATTGTCTTATGCTAACGTCTTCCGTCGCGCCCTCGATACCGAAATACTCGCATACCGTCGGCCAGAATCTATCCTTCCACGTGATGAAATCATCTTCTATACTGCAACAACGATTTGTTCGTTCTTTATTAAAATCGATGGAGTCCGCGGCTGTTAAACGCAAGATGATTCACGTACTTGGCATCGTCGTCTCCCAAGCCCAGCTCGAACACGCGTGTAGCGCCGAGTTGTTCTAATCTATGATCAACATATATCGCTACTTCATTATAATGTTCGTATGTTTTATTCCCGAGGCCGAATACCTAAAAAAATAAAAATAAAAAAATAGATATCTTCGTTATCTCGTCGGATGGGAAACTACAGTACGTATCTGCGGATTTAAATACCTCCGGGGTACATAACGTCGTGACTCGTTGCGCGGAGTTCTTGCGCGCATATTTAATCACGCCGTGCAATAGTTTATCTAATATTTTCGAGCTCATTATTTAAATAAATATTGTCAAATTTATTTGTTAGTACCGTTGTCGTTTGGATGAATTCAATCGCTCGTCGCGACGATTAATTAACTTTTACAATGAGGACAGTGAAACAGCGTACGCGCACTCTGCGATCGTACACGTGTCTGATTGTGGCCTCGTGGCTTACGCAACGTTCGCTACGCTGTTCCGAACGACGCACGATACGAGTGAAAAATTCTATTATCGTAAACGGTCTAATCGAACGTATCATTTAATAATACGGGTCGAAATAACAAATTCCTGTACAAGACAATTCGTATCACATGCAAAGAGAAAACTGAACTCTACTTCCACGTGATTTCCTTCAACAATTATTGTTTCTAATAAGAAGATGTTCTATTTATACATCATTCATTTATATGTACTCGTAATACTGAAGGTTAAAGAATTTCTCGTGAGTAATAACGCACGACCATCGGTCGTCTATCGGGTCGTATCTTTTAGGTTACTGACTACGGCACGCGCAGGGTAAAACGAATAGCACTCACGGCATAATTGAGTCCATTCAAATCGGCATCCCCATTTTTGAGCCAATCAACAAATTCCATAGCATTGTCCGTCGGATCACCCTCTCCGTACGTGGCTAAACAGAACACTGCCATACTGTTTGGAATTGTTTTTAGATGAATTAATTCTTCCTGTTGTAATAAATTACAGTTCCATAAGATCATCACGTAAATCGAAATAAATTAAATATTCTTCTAATCGATTCGACAAACTAACACATAAAATTTACTGAATGATTGATATAAAAATAAGCATGTACCATGTCGCATTCTTCCGGGTCAGCCACCATGCCTTTCATTTTATATCGGATACCCTCTTTCGCCAGTCTACCGGCGAACTCCTCTCCGGTTCCCGTTTGACTCCCATAAAATACTACCAAACTTCTACCCGAGGTTTTCAACTTCTTTATAAACGAATTCTCCGACGGCTGTACCGTGGGGAACAGCGTTGGCCTGATCAATAAAATTATTCATGACATCATAGATGAATTACCGCTGGACTGCAGATTTGATGCGTTTGCAGAATGCAAAGTTCTGTTGTCGCATGGAAATCTGCAGTCTGATCATCGCTAATAGGAAATAGATCATTACTGAATGGAATAGGATTTTGTAACAGGCGTGTATTCCTCTTGTTTGTTTCGTCTCAGCAGCCACCATAGCGCGGTTACCAAGAGAGCGACCAGGAGAACGATATCAAGGGAGCTGAAGAGCGGCTCCTCGGGTACGTCTGTCCTGACATTGTCCTCCAGAACTGGAGAACCTGCCATCCTTATCGCTTTAGGCTGTGACGCGTCTGCAGTCTGCAACGAACGAGATGCATCATATACTTAATCAGTTTTATCGATACGTTGCCTACCAGAATGATCGCTTGGTTTACACACTTTATTATTCATTGCCAAGTATGAATATCCGTTTTTACTAATGGTTCTTGTATTACCATATCTTTAGTTTCGTTTAAACTATGTACGTCATGTCAATTAATCATTATCAGTAGACTGCGGATAATGTACTTTAAAAAGGAAATTAAATTTACAGAAAAATATAAATGCTGCTTAGATGTATGGAGTATTAAATGTGCACATTCCGATGTTTCAAAGATAAATGAAATTTCTGTTTGAATACATACATTTTTTAAACTGATACTATAAATACTCTATTTTGCATAAAACTCCGCACTTTAGTTATCAGGAGATTTTTGTCTTGGAAGCGAATGAACGACAAATGACTCGTCGGTTATTTGCCTTCGCCGAACTTTTACGATCATTATTTTTAATGAGTTCTCAGACTTGACGGCAAATGGGTCATCAATCTGCCCTTGCCTCGTTATCTGGTTCACATTTGCGAAAATCGAACATAATTTAGATTAACTTTATCACGATACGAAGCTTCGTCTTTTAATTTCACATGATAATGTACAAGTTCAAGAATGAAAACTTGTTTGAATTAACAATAAAATGTTAGATCATGTTCATTGAGGAAGAACAAAATATCTCGTAGAAGTCTATTATCTGTTATCAAGGAATTGATGATATTAACTTTATCAAAAATCATCCAAGAAAAGATATCGATTGTAAAAAAAAAATAACGTAAATGCCTTCTTCCTCGAATCGTTATCAATTGTCCAGGCGAGATATTCGTTAGCATAACAGATTGTATGACTCATGTCGAATACCAAAATAGGTCAATAAAATTTAATAAAAACAGCATTACAGACAATTTCAAGCGTTTCGTTAATAATTCGCATCGGAGAATCTCTTAAAAGATATTTTTTCATATTATTTCCTTGTACGTTCTTCTTATTTCAGCTAACTAACAAGGAGACCACATGACTTTGGATATCGCCTTTAAAATGACAATGCGCTTAAGTGCAGTACATACCTAGTATTAAAAAAGACTATTAGATATCTTCAAAATGGGCTTTTATTTCTTAGATATTTTGATTTATAGCTTTTAAGCACCATGTAAGTCGTTCTGTTACGCGTATTACTAATACCACATGACGTAGTGAGTCACTAGGTCATGTAGCTTCCTTAGAAGCTGAGGAGCTAAAAACTTTAGTAAACACTATTACAATCGACGTTACAAGCTGATATTTGTCGCTCTAACGTAAACAGTTTATGAAAGAATGACTGCTTGATCACGTAAGGGATTATGCAACATAAAATCACATAATCCACTCGCATCACTATCAGAATATATTATGTATCATCGGCTGTATCATTTCCGTATTAAAATAAAGAGAACGAGACTTATTGTAACATGCAGGAAACTGCAACCGTGCGAATATTTCATCACTGATTGGACTGTATCATTGCAAAATAGATCTGATTAATCTCTTCTCTCTGATAAGTAACCACTTGGTACGGAAAAACAGAGCGTGATAAGTAATTGCCAGGCTGGTGACGTGGTCTGAAGATGGCCCCAAGGTCATCGCGAGTTTTCATTTATTTAAATACAGTCGTTCTTTTTATGAACTATTTTCCTGCCGACTCATCCATTTAATATCGTAGTCCGTGTCAATCATGATTTTTATTTGGTCAAGGAAACGAATTCCTAACGAGTAACTGGAAGTTTTCACTTTTAGCCTGATAGGACTCCAAGTCGAAGTATCCAGTCTTTACCTAACGACGTTCTATTATTCCTACATATCAACGATCTAGTTAGAGATCACTTGTCACGTTCGCACGTTACGTTGCCACGTTGAGGTGTATGTATATTCATCAAACAGACAATGGAAGTTTTTATCCAAACTCATTTGATTTACCAAATAAGCTGAATGACATTACAGTCACGTGCTTTCATCGTTTAACGAGTAACGTGATACCCTACGACCCAGCAGTCTAGCTGACATTTATCCTAGTTTTATCCTTAAGAGGAACTGTTCAGAATTATGATTCTACTAATGTAGCAAGAGTCTTCGGCAAACATTCTCGAGAGGAGTTTACTCTGTCCAAAAATAACGTGAACATCCTGTTCACATGAATCAGACCTTGGGACGTCGATCCTAATCCTACTAAATCCAAGTTTTACAAACCTAGAAGGAAACTATTTTCGTCTTTTATAACCGAAAGAGTTTTAAGACTCGAGACACTGACGGATGCTTACCGGTAAATCCATACTTGATGAAAAACCCTCGGTATCGATAGTGAGTCCAGTTGGTCAAACGGCCAAACTTGTCCGAGTTCACAAACCGATCACTCAACTTATTTACGTTTGCATAGAACGTAGTGCATGCGCGACTGACGGGCGCGTAACTGCCGCGAAGCCGCGGATCGGAAGATCCAAAACGCGTGCACACACACAACATTGACGTGTACGCAGGCGACACGGCAGGGAAAAGCAGCGAGTCATCGCACGTCCACACATCATTATATATATATATATATATATATATGTATGTATATCCTATATACCTGAACGCTCGTGTACGCGTGTAGCTTAAGTGACACAACAGTTTGATGACGTGCGACGTCTGATTGTAATTCGCACTGATAATAGCCAAACTATGAATTGACGCTAGTTTTTCCTGCGAAGAAAATTGAATAGCAGTTACATAAGAGACGAATGATTCTTCTTTATTCCGTTGATAAAAATCCTTTTTGCTGTCGTTCATGAAGGAACTGGGTTAATCAAATTAATGATGATAAATATAGAACGATTAGTTCTTTCATAATGAGATAAGCGTATCGCTGTATAAGATTTGCCCTGGGAATCATTTCTCATCAATTCAACGATCACACCTACGAGCAAAGAAGTTGTATTGTTTTCAATTGGAACTAACAATAAGAGAGAATATAACTGCGTCACGATGAGTATTAATTAGAACATTATCAGCGATAGGGTCGATCCGCACGAATGGACGAGTGTTTGTAACCGTTATCGGCCTCGTGCAGAATCATCGAAAAATAGAAAGCCGAGAGGCGCCGTGAAAGTTATTAAATGCGGTGGAAATTCAAACGGGAATTACACGCGCGAATTTATCTTCGGAGAAAGCGAAAGGTAAAAAGAAAAATGAGTCATTGGTCGTGTCGAATGCATCGTATCCGGTCGCCTACGTTATTGTTTTACACAGTTACGTGAGAATGATGCGAATTCTGTTTAACAGTCAGAATTAATAGATGATTCGACTTCGACACCTTTATATAATTAAAGCTGCTAATAGGATCACGTAAGCCATACATAGTTTTGCATTCTCGCGTGATAATACATGGAACAGGAAAGACGCTCTCTTTCAATGTATGTATTGCGATTATAATTGACATAAACGTCGACCATATTTCTATTCCGTAAGAGTAGAGAAAGAGGAAGCTCTGTTATAATTCAAACGTGATAATGTTAATTATTATGAGCCACGTGAGGCGTTACGTTGATGGATTATCATAGAGTACTTAGTATGCAGCCTAAGCATTGTTCATTACGACAGTGATTATCAATAAGCTGATAGAAACGAGTGTTCTTGGACGTCGCATCAAATAAAGGAGGAGACTGCGATATCGTTAACTCGTTAACACTGTGTTGCCATGGCCAAGGCCGTTCATGAATTACATAAACTGGGTCCCCTTTAAATTCCGCTCAGCCATGACTATGACCTCACAGAAATGATACGCGTATATGTGAATCAAATGTGAAACCGAGACAGCCTTCGTACAATTCAACCATGACCTTACATTCCTTTCTTTTCTTCCACTTTCCCTCTCCTCGATGTGCATCCAAACTTTCTCTCGTACAAATATTTCAATCCCTGCCAGAATTATCTCCCTTTTACAATACGCTCGTACGTTCCATAAAATGGCCTGTCGGAAGTAAAATTTGTCTAGTCAGTATGCGAAAGTGCAACGTGTTTCCTTCTTACAAACCGACGAACGAGAGGCGCTCAATTTCAATTCCCATTACGCAATGCATATCAGCCAGCATCCAGTGTAATAATTGTCATACGCTGATACATCAACTCTGTATTTAATATGTATAATTCGACTACCAACGCTGTCATTATCGAACACGAGCTATCCTTGTATATTGTATATTGTATATTGTATATATATTGCACAGCAAGAAAAATTTCTCATTACGTTTTATCTTACTTATGCAAGCCTATATGAAATTCTTTTTTAAACAAACTTACACGTTAATTTTCATTCTACAAACTGACTAACGCGTTTAAACGCGATAGCAAGTTTTGTTTCCGAACGGCTCTGAGTCAGAATAAAGTTCACCTTAAGATTAACATACGCGTTCATTAATGCTCAGATATTATGTCAAATCCGGTTACTATATATCAATTGAAAACAGGTGTCGACGTTTAAATGATCAACCACGCAGCATAGTTAATTATTATTATATTACCTACTTAACGACGTAATGAAATTTCAACAAGCTATCGTCAGCGAATGCTAATAACAAGTTTCAGTAGGAAATTTTCTAGATAAAATTTTCTACAATGACGTTTTGCCATTGGATCACAGGGAACTGGGTCTTCCGTTCACGATCTTTGATCTCCGATGTATTATTCAATTCACCTGACTTTAAATTATTACTTAGCCACTTTGCAATGGAAAAATGTAATGAAACCTGTATTGAAAATTAGACACTGTTTCAAACATATTTGCATCATCGTCGTTAAATGAATTCGATTACCAAACAAATACTAAGATCATCGTAATGAATAATATATCATAATCTGACATTTGTATGTAACTACACACGCATATTAATTTCGTTAATTACTTATTTAAAAATACAAGCGTATTATGCGATAATACGTAGAAGAAAAATATCATTTTCAAATGTTTTACTGTAAACATTTTTCAAAGAACGAACGTAGGGAGGATTAATATGAAAGGCGAGCTAACGTGAACGAACGTGGATGCACGAAAAAACTGCCGTTATCAACTTTTATTCATCCTCGAGATTTCTCTCGATCGAGGATCATTCAACCAGCCTAACTACCGTGGCCACCACCTGTTGAAATGCACCTTGGCGCTTACCTGGGGAACCGTTTTCGAACGAGGAAACGTTGAATCGCTAACAGGAATCTTCTCGGAGGGAGTCGCGTCTCGGTAAAAGTTGAGGAGACGGAATAACCATGTGACAACACTTTACATCGATTCGGCGTCCCGTTCGGTGCGTTGCACTCGTGCAAAAACGACGTAACCGCACTGGTTCCAGTAATTCCACCACTGCTCGGAAATTTGTGTGTACGTGACCGCCGCACACCTCGGCATCGAACACGGGGAAACAAGTGGCTTCTTTTCACGAAATAACGCGTGCTCTCCTCAACAACGTCAACGGGGAATTCATTCAGGAGACTGTTCGGTAGAGGACGCTTTGGCCCGGTCTCCATTTTACAATATGGCGACCATCTGGCTTGTTGCATACTTTGAGAGCCTTCCGCTTTCTTTTCCGCCGAGTTGCATCGAGTTCAAATGATACAGGGAAGGGTTGGCGAGTTTATTATATACTCATTTACAATCAAAGCATGCATTCCTTTTCCTGACTTTCATCTCCCTTCGATCGTTCAGCGCTGAAACGGAAAGAGAAACTTGCAATCCCGTTGAAATAAAATTTTTCTATATACGTACTTATCAAATCTGAACCAATCGTGATTGATGCAGATCTGCTTTGTAGTTCTTGTAAAATCATAGCATGAAAGGATAGGACAGCTACTCTCGAAAATAATTCTTTGACACCATCTCCAGTCCTGGAGGAAACGGCCCAAAATTCGGCTCTCATTTTCTTCGCGACTTCTCCCCCTCGTCTCTCCATGATTTTATACACTTGATCAGACTGAAAACAATTTTATTGTTACATTTGTTTTGTTACTCTTTTCATCGAATTCTATGATTTACCAATAAATCTCGTTTCGTGCCTATCAAAAATATGTGATAAGGCTCAGTGTTACTTCCAGCAGCTTCGTTCAACCATTGCTGACAGTGTCTCAAAGACATCAAATTCGCCAAATCGAAAACGACCATGATCACTAAAAATCAATTTTCCAATAATTATCTTTCTTGGTTGTGGTGTTATAAAATCGAATTTAATTAACGTACCATTCGCGCCTCTGTAATAAGAAGCAGCTATGGATTTAAATCTCTCTTGACCTGCGGTATCCCATCTAAAAAGAATTTTTTTTTACTAAATATGCAATTGTAGATTTTTAGTAACGCAGGAAACGTACATTTGTAAATGAAATGGTATCCCAAGGATGTCGAACCGCTCCACTTCGAAGTCCACACCGATCGTCGCCTTGTAATTGTTGTCAAATACTTTGTGACAAAACCTGAAGACGATGTAACACTAACTTTTAAATTTGCTTTTATACAATTGCATGTAATTGAATTACCGATTTACTAAACACGATTTTCCAACTGAAACGTCACCGATCACGATCGCCTTCGCAATTTTCAACGTTATACTTCTCGTTTTACACGAACGTTTGACGATTTCATCAAAATCTCGATCGTCGCTGTACTCCGTCATTTCGGACGAGAACGGTGGCGGCCAATTTTCAATCTGAAAGTTTATTGTAGAGATTTATGAAGGAAAGTTTAAGAAACGTAATGATAAATAATTGAAACGTACCCGTCTGTCTTCACGAGCCTCTTCGATCATTTTGTAAATCGCTGAACGCGTTTCCAGCATTTCTTACACTGTTTCTATCAAGAAATTAAACTTGAAACGGGAACTTAATTACGCGGGATACGAAGTACGATCACAGCAATCAACACTGACGAACTTAACCTCTCGTATAAAGTTTAAACAACTCGTTAAACGATTTTTGAACGTCTAAAAAATTGTTTAAGCGAAAGAACTTGTACACTAATCGACGACATGAGTAATTTTGAAGCGAACGAAAACACTGGTTGCTACGACAGGTGTTCCTTGAATTTTCGTAAACGAATCGAGTCGCAAAAAACGTTACCTATTAGAGGAATTACAATGATTATATTATTTTATAAGAAACGCAAATTTACTATTGCAAATCGAATGATATAGACAATTTTTATTTTGGAATACTGAATTTATCTAAACGTTGCAACGAGCTACGTAGTCGTGTTCCTATATACCTTCTTCCGGTCTAGGATCTCTCTCTTTTTAGCGAAAATGGCTCCTAAACCGAAGCCCACGGACAAGTCAGGTATATTTGGATTTATTAATTACGTTCGACTTTCGACAAGTGCATTAGATATCATGTGCAACGATTAAACAGCTAATGAAAATCTATTGATAAATGTGATTCGTGATGTGAATTATTCGTTAAACACGTGCTACGTTTTGACGACCATGTGGTTTGTCGCCTGTCTCGTCGATTCAGACCAACATCAACATGTAGAAAAAATTGTATTCCCTTTAGACAACAATTATTTCGTCCAGTAACGAGAACGAGTCGAACAGTCAAAAGAAAACGCGATTTTCATTTCCAATTTTTGTATAGCTCTCTCATAACCAAAGGTCGTTCAAGCTCGTAAACATTTAGTTGCCGGGAGGGTCTGTGAACTTGATATATTTTATATCTTTTACAGCCAGCAAGCCGGCTGAGAAGAAAACGGAGAAGAAGGCTGAGAAGAAGCCAGCTACAGCGGCTTCTACCTCGAAAGTCACAAAGCCCGCGGCAAAGGCATCCGGTGCAGCGGCTGCTAAGAAGCCAGCAGCTGCGAAATCTACGACTGCTGCGAAATCCGCAGCGAAACCAGCAGCGAAAGCTGCACCGAAAGTTGCTGCGAAACCCGTAGCAGCGAAACCCAAGAAAAATGCACAACCCGCGAAGAAAACACCGAAAGGTGGAAAGCCTGCGGCTCCCCTTCAAAAAGCGCTTAAGGCCCAGAAGAAGGTTTGTACACGTTGCAATTTTAGTCAATTCTAAGGATCGCGTGTTTGAGAATGATGAAACGTATCAGGGAATCTCGTTGAAAACTATGATAAGAAATAAAATCTAATGCTGACTTATGAAACTGTTGGACGTGGAGCGTTCTCGTGATGGATCATGTTAATAAGGAGTTTGTAATGTGTGTAGATTCTGAAAGGTGTCCATGGATCGAGAGTAAGGAAAATAAGGACGTCGGTGCACTTCTACAGGCCGAAAACGTTCAGGCCACCGAGGAATCCGAAGTATCCGCGGAAATCTGTCCCGAACAGAAATCGGTAAGAACTCTGAACGCGATTAGAGAATTAATTAATTAAAATCTAAACCGATTGTTTCTCTTTTCAGCATGGATGCTTTCAATATTATTAAGTTCCCGTTGACTACCGAAGCAGCGATGAAAAAGATTGAAGACAACAACACTCTAGTTTTTATCGTTCACACGAGAGCGAACAAATATCACATCAAGGCTTCGATAAAGAAATTGTACGACGTTGACGTGGCTAAAGTTAACACGTTGATCAGGCCAGACGGTAAAAAGAAAGCGTACGTACGCTTGACCCGTGATTACGACGCGCTTGATGTTGCCAATAAGATCGGTATAATATAAATGTATCTATGTGTGATTGGTATAGAGGAATATCTGTGCTAATAAAACATGTTGTACAAAATTTCACATATAAACGATCAACTTACTTTCTGATGGAAGCTTGCTCGCGTTCAAGCTGTTCCTGTGCCCGTGCCTTCATCTCCTCCTCCGCTTCTTTCATCTGTCCCTCCATCTCGTGCAGATGCTGCATAGCCTGTCGTCTCTTCGCTCGACCGCTTCTTCCAGTCTCTTTGACGCTGAAGAACATCGGACCCAACTCGGCTAGCCAGTGTCCATCGACAGCGGTCACGCACTGCATGTACTCCTTGGCAGTCATCACGAGCTCGTGGTACACGACGTAATCAGGCGTGAATCCCATGCCGAAAAGTGCCGAGGTCGGATGAAGATGACACGGCATCCCCGTACGGCAGTTCACGTACTCGCCGATACCCTTCAACCGGGCCGCTTGATGGAAATAAGCGGAGCAGATGCACTTCCGAACGATGTCCCAGTTTGTGCCGCAGCTGACGACTTCCATCTTCTGCTGCTTCAAAATCTCCTCGAGCTGCTGTCGGACCTCCCTCACTTTGCGCATCGCTTTCGCGTGTATCAAGTGGTCGTTGCACCACGAGCTGGAGTAACCGTTCGCTTTCCATTGATTGTAGACATTTAAATATGTTCAATGATCGGATTCTGGTACTTGGAACTTCTCTCGAGCGGAGTCCGAGTCTTCCTCGCGCCCCTTTGGTCGGTAGAATATCGAAGGGACCGACAACATGGAAACTGAAAAAAATATTTAAATTCATCATTAAAGCATTTAGTCGTAGATTAATTATAGTTATTCTTACATCAAAATATAATTTACTATTATTAATTACCTATGATTAATATATCTGCGGTGCAACCGAGCTGTGAAGCGACGATGAGCATTTGGCACTGCGGTGGATCTAGCGGGAACTCGGCCATTTGTCGTCCAAGCGGTGTTAATCGTCCTGTATGATCTAAGGCTCCCAAAATCCATAATTGATACAGGGAATTCAGTATATTATCCTGAGGCGGTGGATCCATGAAGTGGAATGCCAATAAATCCTGAACTCCCAGTGATTTCAATAATAATACAGTATTTGCAAGATTGGTACGCTGAATTTCAGGAACTCCGGTCAACAGTAACTCGTCTAAGTACTGTCTTCGCGTGTACAGTCTATAACAGGTACCAGGGCCCGTACGTCCAGCTCTTCCCGATCTCTGGTCGGCGTTAGCTCTGGAGACGGGATACACTTGCAGGGCGTCCATACCGATCCGAGGGTTGTAAACTTTTAGCTTGCAATAACCGGAATCCACGACGAACACGATCCCATCTACGGTCAACGAAGTTTCGGCGATATTCGTGGCTACGACGCACTTTCTTAAACCGCCCTCCGAACGCTGGAAGATCTTCGCCTGGAGGTCCGACGGCAATTGCGAGTAAATTGGTAAAATGGAAAGCGGAGGAGCGGACTCTATCTCGGCTAAACGTTCTTTGAGAACTTCGCATGTGACTTCGATATCTTCTTGACCGGGCATGAATACCAGCACGTCGCCTGACCGCGGCTGCAAGTGTATCTGCATCACTTGCTTCACTGCTGCGTCGACGTAATCCTCCACCGGGTTTTTCGCGTGAAGTACTTCTACCGGAAAGGTACGGCCAGGTATTTGGAAAGTGGCTGCGTTTCCGAAGAAGGTCGAGAATTTGCTGGAGTCCATTGTAGCCGACGTTACGATCAATTTCAGATCGTGCCTCCGAGCTACGACTTCTCTCAATAGACCAAATAAGACGTCGGTAGACAGCGATCTCTCGTGAGCCTCGTCCATGATGACTACGCTGTACCGATCCAGATCTCCTTCTCTCAAGCTTTCCCTTAATAAGATACCATCGGTCATGTATTTAATGACGGTATCTTTTGATGTGCAATCCTCGAAACGGATGGCGTATCCTACTTTGTCTCCTAAAGTAGTTGCCATTTCGTCGGAAACTCTTTTAGCCACGGACATCGCGGCGACTCTCCTCGGCTGCGTGCATCCGATTATACCATAGCGACTGTAGCCGTCCTCGTGAAGGTACTGAGTTAATTGCGTGGTTTTTCCGCTACCGGTTTCTCCTACTATAACTACCACGCTATTCTCTCTAATTACATTTAATAATTCTTGTCGTACTGCAAATACTGGTAGACTTCTCCTTTGATGCTGGATCGATCTGTACTTTGCTTCGCCGGTGACTTCGTCCCGAATATGACGCGCGTACTTTTGTCCAGCTTTGTAGTCGGTTTCCTGTCCGGGAGCTTCTTTGTCATCCTTGCGTCTGTCGTGCACTCCCATAATGTTACCGATGTGCGTTCCTGCCAGTTCCCAATGCTTCTTTTGAGCTCGCTTTCTTTCTTTCTGCTCGCGATACGCCCGTACCAATGCGGATCCCTTCCTCGCTACAAGAGCCATATCCGAAGTAGGATCACGTACTGGGACAACGGGTTCTGGTTGCTTCGTGAACACGATGCGGCCATCCAAGAACGGTGGGACGACGTTGTGCACTAAGAGATGCACCCTGGTCTCCCCTTCGTCGTCAGGATCGTCGTCGTGATCCAAGGAGCTTACGACGCCGGACGTTAACATGCGATTGCGCTCCCACAATTCATTGTCCTTGTTGATCTGTCGCTGCTGCGCGGAGAGACGCTTCTGCCTCTTCGCCTCCAACTCCATTTCCTTTTTACGAGTATACTCCTCGGATACATCAGCGAACGCATGGTTCTCTCCATCGTCCAGGGCGTACCATTCACGATCCAGCCTCTGCTGCTCTTCTTCCCACAATTCCTTCTCCTCCCCGTCGATGCTGGGAGTCGCTCCGCTGGCTTTCCTTTCTTTGTTCCAGGAATTGTACTTATACGAAGGCGTGAATTCGCTTCTAATACTTTCACGACCATCTCTGCTTCTGTAAATGTTAGGCGTCGGGTGATCCCAGCTTGACTTTCGAGGTTCCTCATCCTCGTCATCGTCCCAATTACTTTTAAATGCAGAATCCTTTGTGTCGAACACTGGAGTCTGTGGCTCATCTTTAAATCTCGGCGTCTGTCTGCTGCTGTCCCTCACGCTGTCCCTGCCGCGACTTCTATTGTCCCTGTCTCTCTTGTTACCTCTGTCTCTGTCCCTGTATGGATGATTTCTGTCCTGTGCACTTAATCTCTGGTGCTTTAATCGGACCTCCAATCTTCGCTGAGCTTCCACATTTACTCCTCCTGTATGAGTCGGAGTTTCCTCGCCGTACGATCTGTATTTCCTCTCCTTAACCTCAGATTTCGCATCGGATCTTGAAGAGCCACCGTCCTGCTGATTTTCTTGTCTCTTCCGCTTCGCAAGCTTGTCCAGACCCAGAACAGACACTTGTGGCTTCTTAAACGTATGATCGGACGGTTTCTTACGAAGAATTAAACCAGACGACTGGCTTTTGTCACTCCCTTCTAACCTATAAAGACTCGTATCGTTCGGATCCATTTTTCACTAAGACTGCTCACTTCTGCTCACTTCGTTGCCTTCGTTGTCTCAACACAGACTGTAGGATTTCTCCAGATTTCTCCGCTCTCCGCTTCCCGAGCTCTCCCCACTACTGTATGCTCAGCTCAGTCGCTCTCCCCACTTAGACGGACAAGTTCGATGAAATGAAATACCGAGCATAAAAACATTCGTTGCATTCTTAAAAAATTATGAACTATATTTTGCGTTGGATACTTTGTATTTCTTTGCGCATTAGATGCCTCTTGTGTTTCTTTCGATCATTTAAAATACCTGTAACTAAAAAATAACTGTAACAGGATAATCCAAGGATAATTGTAACAGGATATAAAAATATAATAAGGTATAAAGAAATATTTGATGCTGATTATACGTTAGGGTGCAATATGTTACTTATTTGCATAAAATCGAAATACGTTTATAAATAATGAACATAATAATTATATCAACGATGTCAGTAACATAATATCTATACTTAATTATTTATGCTATTACTTATGTTGCAAGAAAGAAGGAAAGCGGGAAAAGGACTAAGGTGGTGGTGGCAGAAAACGGTTTGAAGGCACAGCGTCCAGAAATAGCGACTACCTGCGTAATGACCTTTTTGGCCGGATTATGGAATTGCTTGTAGAAGAAGGAAGTCTTATCCTCCTGGAAGGTTCTTCCGGTAATTACGGTGCGTAGGTAGTAAAAGAAATATACTAAAAGTACAAAGAAATAGTTGCGCGGCAGATTGGTGATTCGAGACATAACGGTTATTTTCGGCTGTAACTGAAGTACTTAGGGATGTATTCGCTATACAGTCAATCCTAAAAGTTTATGCACTTTAGAAACGCATTTTTTAAAAAGAAATCAGACGTCGGAAGAACATTGCTAGTAATAAACAACAACAAAAAATTTTCGATTTTTCTGAGAATTTTCCAAGGGGTACCTCTTCAATTTCTTCCAAATTTTCGTTTTTGGCCAATAACTCCCAAACCCTTTGACTTACGGAAAAATTGCATCAGACCTTTCTTGTAGAGGACGACGAGATCTACAATTTCTATATAAAACTNACATAAACTTTTAGAATTGACTGTACAGCCAATACATCCTTAAAATATCTTCCAACGTTTCGTGCAACGATTTACGAATGCACGTATCATTGTATAAGAAAAAACAAACAGAAGAGAAACGGAGTTACGGTTAACAGGAAACGTTTGACAAAATGTCATAAATCGAATGAATTAAAAATTATATTATCGTGATGAGAAGAAAGGTAATGGAGCAGCCATTAGGAAAGGAAAGTAAATTGTATCTGTCCTGGAGTTTCGTCAAGATATACTGGAAGATACTGTTCGCTGTTTCATGGGCACTGCTCCTAGCACCGATGATTATCGTTAATAATACAACGGTAGAGTTTACGAAACGAGAGGAGATTCCCGACTAACTGCGATACTCAGAAAGATCGTTTGACGACGTTCATAGGAGGTGAGATGCGGGTACACGATACTAATTATGGCAGGCTACTGGATATTAGAATGCTTCCCGATGGCGGTCACCTCGTTGATACCTGTGGTGCTGTTCCCAGCGTTCGGGATACTGAGCACGGCCGACGTTTGCTCCTGTTACATGAACGATACCATAATGGTGTTCTTAGGAGGCTTGATCCTTGCCATAGCGACGGAACACAGTAATCTGCATTTGAGGATTGCCCTCAGTGTGATGAAGACAGTCGGTTGCACTCATGCAAAATTGCTCGGCGGCCTCTGCGGCGTGACTACATTTATATCAATGTGGGTGTCGAACACCGCTGCCACGGCCATGATGGTACCCATAATATTCGCGATTCTCAAGGAATTGGAACAGGTTCGAAAGTTATCAGACTGCGGATTTTTATGGAAAATCCGCAATTATACGATGTCGTTTATCTCAGGCTGGTCTCAGTCGCGTCTTCGACGAGTTCCCGCCGGAGACGAATAGTCCAGACGCGGAACCGTAAGTGGAGAAAATGAATAATCAAAATGAGAAGACGATGAGTAATATTTATTGCAGAGTGAAGAAACCGACGAATGTAACGAAAGCCTATTTGACGGCCGCGGCGTACTGCTCGACGTTCGGAGGCACGGGGACCATCGTGGGTACCGGGACCAATCTGACTTTCAAAGGGATTTTCGAGAGCACGTTTCCTGAGTCCGAAGGGATCAATTTCACCGACTGGATGATCGCCTCGACGCCGCAGATGGTCGTCAACTCGTTCTTGACGTGGATTTATCTCCGCATCGCTTTCATGGGCTATCTCAGGCCTAATAGCAAAGACGCGCAGATGGCATCGATAGGAGAAGAGGGGCAAACGATCACGAATCGGGTAATTGCTCGCGCTTCGGCCAGTGGATCTTCCTTACGACGGTAACGCTGATTTTTACGCGAAAGGTGATACAAGAAAGGTACCAAGAGCTCGGCGACATTAGGTTTCACGAGGCGGCGGTGGCCATCCTGTTCTTGTTCTGTATACTTCTGTGGATATTCCGGAAACCCGGTTTCGTGCTGGGATGGTCCGAACTGCTAACAGAAATGTGAAACATTTTCTTACACGCATCCCTTTATTCCCAGCGCATTCTCTTAATCGACTGTCTCGTTGTTAGATCCCTCCGGGACTCGGTGCCTGTCATGTTCGTATCTATCTTGATGTTTTTTATTCCCAAGGATCTGAAATTCCTCCATAGCTTTAGCGACGATCGTAAGTAAAATATCTGCTCACGCATCGATTATTTACAAGATCCTGATCGTTCTTTTAGCCGAGGCGAGGCCCACGAAATCCTCGGAAGGTCTGATCACGTGGGACGTGATACAAAAGAAGATGCCCTGGAGTTTGATGTTCCTCCTGGGCGGTGGATTCGCAATTTCGAAGGGCAGCGTCGCCTCCGGTTTAGCGAGACAAGTCGGCGAAGCTTTGATGCCGTTAAGACACTTGCCCCCCTTTCTCATTCTGGTGATCGTCTCATTTTTCGTTGGTACCATCACAGAATTCACGTCGAACGTCGGCATCGCGAACATTACTCAACCCGTGATCGCACAGATGGTATACAACAGGAAACAAGTAGACAAGCTTGTCGTTTAACTCATTTATCGTTTATAGTGCGTAGCGATGAACATACATCCGATGTATTTAATGTACCCGGCGGCGATCATGTGTTCTTATTCGTTTCGATTACCGGTCGGTACGCCGCCGAACGCGATCATTACGGTCGCCGGGAACATCCCAACGAAGTGGCTAATGCTGGGAGGCTGCGGCCCTTCCGTATACGCTCTCGTCGTACAAACAACCTTTTTCATCATCTGGAGCTCTCACATTTGGCGGATTAAGGAGTTCCCAGAATGGGCTAAGCTCTCGTCGAATGTATCAACGACCACCTGATTCAGTCGCTTATCGTATAAGTGTTCTGTTTGTTTTATTTAATAAATATATACATACTCTGTTTAACCGCGTCTGATTGTCGATTTTATTCCTGTTACGCGAACCGAGTAGAACTTGTCACGTGTACTCGTGAATAGTTTGTCGCAAGTATATAAATCGAGGAATTCCTCGATTGTTATTTATGCACTTTCCCGATCGGCAAGAAGTAACAGTTAAGTTGGTTGTGTTTTCGATGCTGGGAGTTCGATCTTCTTAGGATTCGAATTGATTTCTTGTTGCTCCAATCGCCGGTGTCGCAACATGGTCGATAGAACACCGTTGAAACTGGCAGTTTTCTTTTTCGCGCTTCCTCTTGGAGTACTTTCACCTGTCCTTCGAACGGGTAATCTTGGCGATGACATTTCATCCATGAAATCGAAATCAGATTTTTCCTCGGTCCTGAAAGTATCGGTTAAAAGATAAATGGAATCATGTGCCAATGGTTGCATCTAAGTGTTTAGAGTCGTAGAAATTTACTTGTATTCCTGAGAGCCGTTGTCCTGTTGTCGATTGTTTGAAAGAATAGGCGAGGCTCCTCTTTTCCCAGGACATTTCCATTCGAGTTCTAGAACCTTGTTGTTTGCTTCAAGGGCCTCGATCAACGTCAGTATATCGTCCGGCTTCAGAGTCCACTCGTTCTAAACAGAAGAAGGACAAGATAAAATGGTAAAAGAATCGTAATTTAAAAGGATTACTTGTCACTCACTTTTCCGTCCACCTCGTATTTCTCGTCGTCCGAACATTCCACTGACCAGTCCTCCTCGTTGCGCTCCATTCTTTAATTCGAAATTTTATTCTTCCCGTTAAAATCGAGTTAAAAATAATTGAACGTCTTACTTCGAAAACAATCTTTGACACTTGCTCATGGCCTGTTCGTACGCAACACGCAACGAGACTGTGATTAATTCTCATACACATACAAGTGCTGCACCAAGAGGTCAGTTGCGGAAAAGAATCGACCTCAGCATATACTGTAGAACCTACATACGATCATTTAAAATTTCGAGAATGTAAAAAACGCAGCAGAATTGTTTTAGGAATCACACATTAAAAGGAAAATACGGAAAAACTCATATTTTCTATAACACATAAATCGATAAACCAAATAAGCAGCTTCTTGCTCTCTAAATAAAAACGAAAGGGTGTAGGGCCAGGAACGGGGATAAAAGAACACATTTGATATCAGAGCTACGACGCTCCATTTATTTAGCAAAAACATAATGTACAAGTATAGACAATCGTGATACGTTAAAAACTACTAAAGAAATAGATTTTATATACAATATATCAGGTATCGTATTTACATTTCATAGTCGTCCAATTAGGAACGTCCGACATTCGTACGTTTAATGAGGTATTCTGGTAATCAGCTTACAAAAATTTCAATATACATTCGATTGCAATATCGCCTTCTGCAGTAACGCAGAAAACGTTTCGTTAACTTCGTGACGTAGAATGTCGGCGGATTTGTCGCCCAGCGCAGCTTGCGCAGAATTAACTCTGCCAAGTTGTAATAATAAACCTATGGTGTCTTCTGCCAGTGGTGGGAAAGCTAAACATATTCTCGTTAACGCTGGCAGAACAGGTAGAAAGAGGATGACTCGATTCTTAGCTGACAGTACTCCCAACAGCGTTATCAGCGTATTGATGGCTAGACGAGAAACGCTCAAGGCTTTCGGCAAAGCGTATTGAATCGCGAGATACGAGGCCAAATCAACGGCGAATATCTGTTTCTCCGGTTCTGGCTGCGACAATAGTTCAGGAATCCAATCGAGACAAATGTGCATCGACGGGATGCCAGTAACGGTGATCGGTAATAATTCCCTCGGGTAGCCCTTTAAATAAAAACAATTTAATAATTGCAAATTGTATGTCACTATCGATTTGATTAGTGTACGTACTTGAAAATGGACTAGTTTGGCCAGCGATGGGTCTGCTATGAATACTTGATGCAGATAAGAACAAATGATACTCTGTATTTCTTTGAGCGACCACATCTGTCCAGCCGTCTCTCTGTCTTCTTCCGTTTCCAAACACGCTTCTAACAATATTTGAACCGCTGCACTTTCCTGACCAGCGACTAACGCCATTCTCAAATCTTCCCTTTCCGTTTCACTCGTCAACTGACCAACCTTCTCCGTTAACGGTTTGTCCTGTATGTGTCTGGATAACTGAGATCTAGATGCTGCCAGTGCAGCTTGCAGAATTCTAAAACCATAAAAGAACAGTTAGTAGCCAGACTTTGGTCTTTAATCTTTTTCTCTTACCTTAAAATAACAGACAATATCGGCGCGCATCTGAAAACTCTTGTATCGCATCTCAATACTTGTAATGGATCCAATACAATGTTCTCTTGCGTTAGAAAAACGTTTTTCACAAGAGAATTTTCAATTAACAAGGCGTTGATCGATAAAACCCAGAGACATCTCGGTAAAACAGTGTTTAGCCTGAGCCAAACTTGTTTATACAATTCTGAAAGCAGTATATTTAGAATATATATTGATCAATGGCATTACCTATCGCGCTTTTAATCACCTTGAATGTATCTCGGAACTCTTGGATTCAGAACTGCTTTAAAGTAATGAATTAAAACTTCAGCGTGTGGCCAGATCTCGATTGGTTTCAACGACATTAACTGTCTCAAGAGCCTCCCCGTTCTCGAAGGGCACGTTTGAATATGCGAAAACGTTTCAATGATCATGATATCGGTTATTTTTACGTGTTCATAGTTCGTTACGGTGGAATCGATATTGATCACCTCGTTATCGAGCCAATCGTCCACCAACGAAAGATGAGGGAAATGCGTCGCCAAAAGCCTCAATAGAGGAGAGAATAATCCGGCATAATTCATTTGATCCCTTTGGACCAACTGAAGCAGATGCTTTATAGGTAGTTCGGATAAGAATTCAGTCGAGTACGATTTCACTTTTCTATCTTGTGATATGAAAGTGTGCATGTTGGACAGTCTTACGTCCTCGTACAGCAACAAGTAGTACAGTAACAATAACTGCGACGTGAGAGTCGGCTTTGGAATATCGATATCTATATTCTCTGTTTCGGTCTGAGAAACGTTGATCTTCGTCTTGAAATCGAAATTCGCTCCAAACACACTGTTTTGAAAGACTCTGCGGATCTCGTCTTCGGTGATCGGTTTATTCGTATGCTCCGACGTTTTATTGTTCGTTACCAGAATTGAGTTCACGTATACTTCGACTAAAGCAGGGAGAACAGGATGCAACGGCGGCTCACTGTTGCAAATCTGCTTGTAGATCCAATTTTTAATAGGCACCCTATGCTTGGCGAACGCTCTCGACTTTAACAATTGATGAATACAATGTACAGGCAGAAATCCGGGGATGTTCGCATTTAAATTAGCGGTCACCGGCACCTTCACAGCATGAGACGTGACCACTTGTTCCGTGAATATCTCCTGCATGAAGATCTGCTTCATTCTCGTCAAATTATTCGGCCTGATCGGTATCTTCATACCCAAAGTCGCGCAGACGAGCTCGCAGATAGCCGACAACTGATTACTATGAAAATGAATGGCCATTAGAAGTAACATTTCTCCGAAGCTCGCTGTGACGCCGCTGGCACTCTCGAAATAGGCCTCCTCGCGTACGAGCCACTGCACCCATTCTATGCTTCGCTTTTCAAGATTATGATGGCCTATCAATGAGGAACACGCTATCAGCATGCATAGACCCAATGAAACGAATCTGACACCAGCTGGTGACGGGGGTGGGTGCGACGTTAACAATTGTACTATCATGGTCACCTCGTCGTCTTGAAATTTAATACCCCCGATGCCTCTCAACGCGCAATACAGGCGCAACAAAGCGCTGGCTTGAACGACTTGACTCTCTGGTAACTGGCCCGCATTTTGCGAAGTGATCGCTTGTAATCGCTTAAGTAATTCTTCTCTTAAAGATTGCAACGCTGTGTGCGATTCCCATTTTCGTTTCTGACCGTTCCTGATGAACATCGCGATCCAGGTTCTCACCTGTTGATCGCTGCCGAGTAACAGTCCCGATACGAAAGCAACTACATCGCTTTCCAAAGTGCTGTTTATATTTTCGTGCTCGAGGCTTAGCGTAATTGCCAAAGCAGGCATTCTGCACAGTTCGACGCATTTCGCTCTTACAGCTAGCGTTTGACTGGGATTCATTTGACAGAGCATTGTCAATGCCATCGTCCTGATTCTGCCTAACGCAGATTCCTCCTGCCTTTCTCCATTGGCAATTAAATGCGTGCAGACCTCGGAAAAACTGTCTGGTATATTGGCAACTATCCAACAAATTATCTCTGGTCCGTATTTAACATGTAACAATGTCTCTGCTATATCTAATATCGACAATACCGTTGGCAATTCTGATAAAGCAACGCAGATCACATAACTGATTTCTTCCATATATACAGCGTTATCAAACAAATCGGATTGCTTGATCTGAAATTCCTGGTTCTTCTGTTGTTCCTGTATCTGAGATGCTATGTACAGTAGCTCACTCAATACTAATCTGATTCTTCTGGTAGATTCGCTTCGTTCAAATTCTAAGGCAAGGCCACTCTGTAATGATTGAGCCAGTACACTGTCTCTCTGCAGACTTCCCATTTTTTGCCTGGAAAAAATGAATGCATCTTGTTAGTAGTCAGTAAAGGAGGTCTGAGAATAAACGATTGTAGACAGTGCAAGTAACCTGAGCTGTTGCTCCTTTCGAACGTCCGTCTCCAGTGCATGGAAATCGATAGAAAGCAGGGCAATTATTGAGTTTACTGACTCGATCCCAGACAATATTGTCAGAACTTGTTTCCGTTGCTCCACGCATTCTTTAGTAACATCCAAAGGAGATATGAGACTCATGCGAACCAAACATGGTAAAATCGGTCGGATGTCTTTGTGAGGGCACAGGGCCAGAACTGGTATGTCTACGTTTTGTATCGCAGTAAAAACTCGCGGCAATACACGCGTGCTGTCTTGCATATTCGTTTATTGTTTATAAAAATTTGATCAGTCAAACACGAGCACTTCACGTGCTCTAAGGTCTACTGTAACCTAGTAAAAGCTACAGCTATGCATTTATCCACGTGGCAGGACGCAGATCTAAATTGTATTTGTATCCGTTGGTCGTTTAATTTTGTGGAATATTTATTATTAAATCCATGAGGCTGAATCTGAATCAGCCGCCGGATGCGCCGTAATAATTTCATGTGACATAACCAACATAACTGAAGTAGACAAGAGTTCTCATGCTGCCAACAAGCTAAGGTAGTCGCTAGGATTATTAATATATTTTATAGATATTATAGACATACGGAATAATTCTATACGTTTAAAAAACGGAATCTGTTTAATGAAATATAATTATTCGAGGAGAACAGACATTCGGGAGAGTCGAAATATTTCTCGAGCTAATAGTAATTTTTCGTACTTGTTGTTACTGACATGAGGAAAAGGTGAAACTTTATTGTTTTGTATAAAATCGAGACAACGTGGAACCGCTGTCACGTCGCCGCGTATGCAACAGAAATAATCTATTGAAAATATGGAATACGTATACCGTTTACCGTTTCTAGTATTAGAAGTGCCTAATTTAAAATTAAAGAAGCCATCATGGTTCGTGAAACCCAGTGCTATGGTAGTTTTCTCGTTTATACTTTTATCGTATTTCCTCGTAACGGGAGGTAAGATTCAGATACGGTGTTTGTGTCTTTTATTAATTTCTTAAATGAAGATGTATATCTCGATCGTATTTTTTAAAGGTATAATATACGACGTAATCGTGGAACCACCTAGCGTAGGATCAACTACGGACGAGCACGGTCACACGAGACCGGTACGGTTAACGAATTGAAAGCAATAATTCTAATTAATGTTAGTAACAACTGTGAAATTGCCTCGTGCAGGTCGCTTTTATGCCGTATCGCGTAAATGGGCAATACATCATGGAAGGATTGGCTTCCAGTTTCCTCTTTACTCTGGGTGGAATTGGGTTCATAGTATTAGATCAAACGCACAGTCCGTCGACACCGAAACTCAATAGGGTTCTCTTGATATGCGTCGGATTCATTAGCGTTACTGTTTCGTTTATCACCTGTTGGATTTTCATGAGGATGAAACTACCGTAAGATTTTTATTGCTCTTTCAACATAGGCATACAATGAATCATGATGGAATGTACTTTATTTTTTTACAGGGGATATTTACAATCGTAAGTAATGCATTAAACGTAATACAAATGAAAACTTCATATTTTTTACGTATCGAATATCACATTTTGTACGAAACAATGAATGTCGTTTATAAATATCAGAGTAAATTCCCAAAGACTCTTCCTTCTTTGTCTGTTCTTCTGCTGTTGTACTTAATTTACAATATATTTCTGTACAAGTTAAACAGTAATCTCTGGGAACAGACTTATTATAATCTGATCCAAGAGAACGTACGCTAAATGCTTGTTGAGCGGTGCATTTTGTAAAGAATCTAAAAGCAAGTCCATCAATTCTATCCACGGTTTGTAAAAACCTATAAGCCAATAAGGCAATAGACCGTGCAGGCCTTTTCTCGCTGCCTCGTAATAACATCGACGGGTCGCGATTGTCTCCTTCGTTCGATTCTTATCACCCAACACTTTTGCGTGTAAGAGTTTTACCACTGTGGCTGCGCGACCACCACTCAATAACTTCACCAGAGTATTATAAAGGACTATATTCACGTACGGATCCACCTTCGCCCGGGACGAAGATGCCAGCATCCACAAAGTTCTTGCAATCACCGGACGCACGTTCAGTAATCTCTCCACTGAAACAACAATTGAAAACAATAAAAGAACTGATCATGGATCGACAAAGGATAAACGTACCAGCGTCCGCGATGCAAAAGGAGGCGCCCTTAATGTGAGACCGCTCCAACGAGGAAGATGGCAAATTTCGAGAGTTAACATGCAAATGAAGATTATCTCCGAAGACACCGACTAAGAGATCGCGGCCTTTCTTCTCCTCATTCATCATCGTTTCTCCCGATGGTTCGATCCCAACGTCCGTGTAATCGTTCTTGTTATTCGTAGATGCCAGAAACACGGCCAGGAACTTGTCTAGATTCTGACCCTTCTCCTTTCTCAATCTGTACGCCATGCTTTGATACAATATGCCGATGTCTGGCGTGCTGTAATTACTAAAGTACGGCTTCAGATTCGGCACCGTGAGAAAATCGTAAAGCGATTCACTGCTTCTGAGCACTGGTTTCGATAAAAGTTTCTCCAGAAAGTCTTCGTATCGTTGCCTATTGATCGCGCAAGACGTGTGCGGATTCTTTCTCGAAGGCAACGGCGAGTCGCTCAACTCTTTGTCTCCGTGAAACTCTGCTAGCCGCGTTCGGAGAACGTAAAAGTCTTGATCCCGGCGTAGAACTGACCAGGATTTATCCTCGGCTATGTTGTGCACTACGATCACGTAGAGAATGTGATTGTCGGTGTTCTCGATATGCGGGATGCTTACTCGCCACGTGGTGAGATCTCTGCGGAAATTGTCTTCACTGTACTTGATCTCGTTGTAAGGACGAGAAGGGTAATCGATCTCCTGGCATTGATAAATATCTTGATAAGTCATTCCGTCGATCGCGGGAGTCCTTAAGACACCGTCTATCCTCGGAAAGTGATTACCCATCTTTGAGGCGTTCGTAGAATTTGTCGTATGAGGAGATTGCTTTGTCTTTGTCGGAGCTGGTTGTCCGCAGAACAAGTCGTAAAGTTGATAACTGTGATGAAAGGATGGTAAGCAAGTGGATTCTAAGAGGGCATGAGCTTCCTGATGCGCCTGATAGAATGGTCGCGAGGTCCTTAACTCCTGTATCTTCTTTGAACCCCTCTCGAGAATTCGTCGTATACCCATCGATATATCTTCTGGTAAGTGCAAATACTCTGGACCCTCGGGGTCCAGATACGTCGCGTACATGTTTTGGATGTCCGTGTACAAACTGCTTTCTGCGTTCGAACTCATTTCCGGGTTCAGCATGCGCTTGCTTAGATCATCAATGTCTAAGCAGAATTGAAACAGATTCATGGGGCCAGTCTCTTTGATATGTTGCATGAACATGTATAGCAGTCTAGGGTCGTTTAGAATCTCGTCCAACGAAGGTTTCAAATTACTTTCAATAGTCTTTGGCGGCAAGGGAACCGACACCCAGCTTTGCAACATTGGCACGTTTACAGTAGCCATTTGATTAGAGGCAGAACCGTCGCGATGAGTCGATAAGACGACCAACGTATTTATATTGTCTGGATCAGCGATCGCGTCTACTGCCGGTAGCAAGATCCAGTTTGCCAAAATTTCTCGAAGTATCACTCTATTATTGATAGAAACGTGTATAGCAGGCAATAGGTGAGGCACGATCGCCGTCACTACTCCTCGGAGGTAGTTTAGCTCTGCTTGACGCGAGTAACTCGCGGGATGAATTTCTCTCCCGAGGTAGTCTAGCAGCTGACTACCGAAATTGTCAACATCGCTGACGTCTTTGATCTTCGAGTGTAACATTTTCCAATCCTGTGCATGCTGCAGAAGCAGCGGTATCAGACGATAAAATATAACGTTCGATACATCTGTACGTAATAGTCGAAGCGCAATGTTTTTAGCCGCAGTCGCTGTGGCCAGACGGAGTTGTTGCACGAACCCTTCGTTCGTGGAAAAGTCTGAGTACCATGCACAGACATACTTCTGTAACAGATCCTCGAGAAACTGAGGAAACGAGCTCATTATTAAAACCATTATTACATTCAGAATTAAGTAAAGCGACGAAAGAGTAATTACCTGTTCCAATGCATGGTCGAAATCCTTCGGTACTTTGACTTTCGTCGAGTGCGGGAGCAATTTGTGCCTCTTGCAGCTGTTGTTACTGCAGACACTGCATGGATCTTTCGTTTCGTAGACTGGATAAGGAGTATTGCATATCACATTCAAATTGACAAGTGCTACGCTGATGTATCGTAATATTACGAGTCCGTAAAAACTGCTTATTACATAAATGCAGCATACGATGATCGCCCAGATGATGCTAGAATTAATTAAATTCTGTATAACCTTACTACAAATCGTTCGGAAAACGTGGATCACGTTCAGATGCTTTATTCATTTTCGATATTTTTCTGTAATCGTGAGAAATTAGTAAAAATGACGTACCTCTTGAACAAGATCAAAATAACCATGATCAGTACGAAAACGATCACTGGGATTATCACGTTAGACACGTAGAAGTCTTGAATTTTATCGGTGGATGAAAATGCCATTGCTCCATTAATTAATATTTTCGATTCCGTTCGTGGTTTAATAATCTCATATTATTAGGACAACGAAAATTCGTGACGATAGTAACACTTCGTAAACATTGACAATTGTCAATTTGAGGACTCGAATTGCAGAGTGCACAATCAATATTGGAGGCTATAATTATACAATTATTCCCATGAATAATTTTATTAAACATTTTCTTAGTTGCACGCCGATAAATGCGATAAATACACTCGTACGTACAAATCGTAATTTTTTAATTGAAACAATTCTACAGGTTCACGTGTTGATTCTAGATGTCCAAAGAAATCGATAGCTTTGTTGATTTAGAGAAGCAACGAGAGATTTTGGAAAGCACAGTAAATTCTGATTTAATTAAAAAATATCCTATAAAGAAATCATATCAGAGAGCATTTCTGAAATGGTTTATGAATAAGGTATTAGCAAAATTATGTATTTGTAATCATTGAAGTTTGAATCATTATCCTTTTGATTTAGATTGAAGAAAAGGATCAGGAAATCTATGATGGCATTTATACCGCGTATTGTAATTTAGTTTCTCTCACGTTAGACGAATCTAGTCATTATCGGCATTTTTTAATGGGGAGTGATTGTATTAGTATAAAAGAAAGTATAAATATTATATCTGATGGCACAACAGGTTTAATTAGTTGGCAGGTATTTACATAAATCAATGACGATCCTTGGATTATTTTATCATGACGGTGAAAATTTGTAGGGCGCGATCGAATTGGCGGAATGGTGCAAGGAAAATCGAATTGCATTGTCAGGGAAAATTGTTTTGGAACTCGGCTGCGGGGTTGGTTTAACAGGATTATCTGTTATAAAGAAATGTTCCCCAAAGAAATACATATTTACGGATTGCCATAAATCTGTACTCGACATGGTTTCTGAAAATGTTCAACTGAATTTACTTCATGAGAACGTTCGCTTCGATAGTAGATTAAGATTGCAATTAAAGTACAATTGTACAGATGTACAAGTAATGAACTTGAAATGGGAGGATGTTGACGAGTACGTAAAGGAGAAGTGGGACGTACCGGATGTAATAATCGGAGCTGATATTTTGTATGATACAGATTCATTCTACACGCTGATATCGGCGTTAAAAACCTTTTTTTCTCTCGACAGTGGATACGCAATTATTGCGGCGACCATTCGCAATGTAGATACTATTTCACAGTTTCTCCATCAATTAGGTATTTAATTTTGATTCGTAACATCTTTGGATAAATACACTAAAAATTAATATAATTTCTTTTTAGAGGAACGTAATCTTTGCTTCGAGGAATGTACAATACCTAGACAGACGATACAAACGCAGTTAATAAATTCACCTAGTAAAATATTTAAAATATTTCAAGGAACGTAACATATATTTTTGATTTATCTATGAATCATCATACATTTCTATTACCAATTTTCGACTGAACTGAATGCGTTTCGTGTTAAATTGTATGCTAATAAATTAGATACATATTCACCTATGCGTACATTATAATATATTATTTCGTAAAAATATACGACAGTAATGCGCTGCCTGCAGACTCAATCACAAAGTATCGTGCCTTTCAAATGAAGGAATAAATTAAGTTGTATCGATTAAAAATGAACATATTTTTCTTTATCAGATTCTTGTTTAGTAGAAAATTATATCAATCGTTCTGGTCAAGCCTCGAAGGCTTAAGGTGTAACCTTTGAATGACATACTCAGGCATGCAGTACGTAGGATTAATCTTTTTCAACGGGTAATCTGTATTTAATAAAGAAAGAGCGGTTAAACCAAAGAGCGTGTGGAAAGGATCAGCAATATCTCCTGGACGGTCACTAAATCCTCCCGATTCCGCGTCCTGGCATGCCAATACAAACTTCACCTGTGTATCATGGATTTATAAGACTCGACAATTAGTTTCTCCTGAATAAATACGTACCAATTGTTCCTTATTAACCCAATGAAGGCGCCCTAGAATCGTAAGTGCAGAGAGCACCCACCAGGAATAACAGACGTCAGGCAACTTCTCTGGCCTGCCGTTCAAACCTCCTGATGGCAATTGCCTTTCGCAAAGCCACCAACTTAACTGATCTGCATCTACCAAATGCAGATTACCTGCAAACATTGATCATCGATTTAAAGTTCTATGTATAACTCGACGAACAAAATATGAGGAACTTACCAGTTATCGAGAGAAGTCCTATCGAGCAGTAGATCATACCAGCATGACTCTCAGCTCCAGGTTTCGAACCGAAACCTCCATCAAAATTCATACACTTCATAACAAATTCCACTGCCTTGTCCACATCTATGGCATCTAATCGATTCTGCAATGTTTTACGAATCATAGGAAAAATTCATAATGATTCAATACATCCATCAGTCTATTTACCAAAAGGGACAACGTTGCTACGGCACAAAATGAGAATCTCATGTCAACTTCTCCCCAAATATCGCCAGTGAAACTTCCATCCGGCTGTTGCCTCTCCTTCACATATTTCACAACCTTTTCAATATCGATAGTATCCAAAGCATCGTAGATACAAAGTATTTGTACTGCACTCAAAGTGTACAAAATATGTGGATCGTGCTGCAAGCTAGCAGCTATTCCTCCACTTTCTGTCTGGCAATGAACAATGAATTCCAACACCTCATTTCGATTAGTCTGCTCTAGTTTGCCCATCATATCCAAGGCCGTCAAGCCCCAATACATCCCAGACATTCTCATATGTTCTGTCATACAATATACCTGGAATATCTCATCGGTTCTTCATTTGAATTTTTCAATAAAATAATTTCACTCACGTATTCATCCTCGGTACCATAAGACAGTAGGAAGTTTGCATGTTTTTCCAGCAACAATTCAGGAACCGATGCTGGAAGTTCGATGTCATGCTTTAACGCTGGCTAAAATGTAAATTAAAAAATTCCCTTAATAAAAATGTGAATATATACAAAAATCAGTAGGAATTTAATAGCTTGCGAGGGATAGAAGTTAAATCGAACTTCCTTTTAATTACGATTTATATGACGTTTTACTTACCATATTACAAAATCTGTTTAGAAAAGGTAAAAAGATCACAAACTTCACCAAGTTTTATTCATTTAAACAAGTATATAAAAATTGTTTACACAGCTTGTCTAAAACTACTTAATACACATCTTTTATCGTTTGCTCGCGTAACCTGAGAATGCAACTATGAATTTTACTACAGAACGCCATCTTCCATGATAAGGATAAGACCGGGAGGTGGGAGCCCTCACCCAATATAAGGTACGAATAAATGGGTTGGGGAATTAAAGGGAAATTATTAAAAATGAGTCGAGGAATATCTGTAGAAAAGTAATTTATTTCAATTTTAAGCATTTATCTCTTTTCCACATTGTTCCCATTCGGGAATTCATCTGTTTAGCTTAGGACATAGATTCGTCATCCGTATTACTCGAATTCACACTCCTAACTTCAAACTCTTCGTCATTATTCTCTTGTTGATCCTCCTGGCCTTCTTGCTCTTCAAGGTTTGACATCTCCTCCCAACTCTCGTCAGATTCGCTTTCCAAATCTTCGACCTCGAGCGCGGCATCTTCATCCGACGACTCTATACATCAGACGTAAATGTAGACACGAGAAAGAAATATTCTATATAAGTGGAAATCTAGAAGTACAAACCAGAATCTTGATAAACGAGACAAGTGTCTGCAATATCTTTATCCTGTTCGTTCACTGTTTGAGAAATTTGACCAGTGACTAGAGAGACTCGACCTTTCAATTTTGAGAGCTCTGTCAAGAGTGCTAGCTTCGCGTCTATTAAACTTAAAATTGGCCCGAACACGTCAACGAGATCAGCTTGTGCTAGAAAGTATCCCGCGTGAGCTGTTAATAATGCTTCCAGCCATCGTACAGCAATTTTACTCCTGCGAACGGAAATACCAGATTAGTATTAAAAATAATGAGAGAACAGGAAGTAGTTATTCGATGATCTTACGTGAAAGTTTTCCCTTGAAGCAGAAGAGTGAGTTCTTTAACAAGAGGCCCGATTGCCTGTATCGGCAGCTTAGCAATAGTATTCCTAATAATAGACTCGTTCTTTGTAAGGAAAACATTGTTTAAGATAGTCTTATCTTTACTATTCAAGCCTTGTATCAAAAGCTGTACTCTATTGCTACCTTTGCTAATAGTTTTTCCTGTGTCATCGCTTTCAGCGTTTAAGCTCAAGTTTTCCAATCTGTCTTTCAACAATAACTGCGATCCTGAACCAGAAGTGTTCTTAATCCTTTTCGGCGTAGTTTCCATAATCCCTAAATTACAAATTATCCCGTAATACGAGTCGTTACAATTTGATATGTTCAAGTATAAATTCCAAATACCTGGTGTAAGATATTCAACATTATTCTCCTCGATTATAACGGACTTCACTTTAGAAATCTCTTCCTTTCTGTCTTTGCCTTTCCTGAATTCTGAACGCACCAGGCATTGAACTTTATCAGAGAAATCTGGTATCACTTTTTCGAAAACGGGATTAATGTAAGTTCCATATACTAGCAACAACTTTTGGTCGTCCGTCAATCTGCCATTTAAGATAGAGATCTGCTGGACACTGTCCTTTTGGCTTACGTCAGAAGCCACTGCGATGTTCAAACTAGGCTTCAAAGGCTTTGACCGACCGTTTAGCTGGTACTGAAACAAGTGTGCCTGCCCAGACCTTGTTACTACGAGCACCATTACTTGAGAGTTCTCCAAGACATTCGCGGAAACACTTATCGGGTCATCTTGTATAGCCAAACTTGCCACAGGAGTTCTCTCGTTTCTTTGCTAGAAATATCCATTCTCGGTTAACAGGCAGAACAAACTATTAAAAGGCAGGAATAAAAAGATACATACTTCGTCTAATGCCCAGACATTGAGATAGCCATCGCTGCTAGCACCGCTAATAACATAGTTATCACCACTAGTTTTAATTGTACAAAGGGAGGTAACTTGATGAGCATGGCCTATGAACGTTTTGATCAAATGTTTTGTATCTAAATTCCACCATTTGACAACTCTCTCCCCTGACAATAAACTCTTCCCATCGTCGGTGACTACCAAGGATGTAGTCTTCCCTTTTCCATATTTCCATCTACTCTTCATTCCATGTTCTTGGATGCTCCATTGAATGATGTGATGGTCATCTGCTGCTGAGAATAAACCAGCATTTTCAGACCACGTCAGTGCAGTCACTGTACCAGAATGACCATCTAATTGGGCGGTGACAGAGGAAGTCGTTGTATCGTAAAGTGTAACTTTTCCACTTGTGGAGCCCATGGCGATAATATTCTTTTGGCTGGGTTCTTCCGAAATCGACTTCCTCCTGCGTTTCTTCCATGGTACTGGCTAATGGAAATAAATAATATCGTATTGTACGATTAATTTTAGTAATCATGTAAAAATTGAGACACACACGAGTATTATAACCTGAGGATCGAGAGAGTTAAGGGATGCGAATGTTTCTTTTATAATATCAATGGGAAGATGGTCTGGGTTTGGAGAGGATATTTATTTGCTTGGGATAAATGAAGGACGCATATGAAATATTCAAGATATTAGTATTTATTCGGTATGAAGTAAAGGAGCACATGGCTCTCACCGATGTATTTGTTGCCCGGGAACTGACGTGGAGCCAGGTTAGAACACAGCACGGAGATGACAAATGGAAATTAGAAACGTATTCCTGTTTCAAACGACTTGTGCCGGTGTCCCAGATTTTCAACTTTCCATCGTTTCCACATTGTGCAAAATTTTCTCCGTCCTGAGAAAAACCGTAATTAGCGGTAGTCGCCATTTCTAATATATTCGTTGTTCAAAACGAACGTAGCTTCGCTCAATTCTTCGTAACTAACTTCAGTACGTGCGAGCGTAAGAAGCGCGTAACTAGGTCCCGTCTATTCTGCTCTTATTTTAATTAGTTTGCTGTGTTAATTATGGTGATTTTGATTATTATTACTCGTTTACTCGACAGTTGGATTTATCAATTTCTACGGAAACTGGTAAGCAAACACATTCACATGCGATTTTAACTCGTAAACGGAAAGTGCATTTGCATTCCGTGCATCCTTTTAAAATGGACTGATTCAAGTCAGCATCCTGACTTTTTCCAAAGTTTCTCAAACTTAAAAAATCAGTAGACTATTAGTTTTAAGAGCTGAATTTATCAAGTAACATTCGCTGAGAGATAAAGGAAAGAACGTTTATTCAAAAAGAACAGTATTACAAAAATAAATTCGAGATATAGAAACGTAAAGGAGTTAGTAAGATATGTTCATGTCAAACTCATCCTTGTGGTATATGAGGATGTCTTTGAACATCATGTTAGGTCCGTCGTACTTGAAATCGAATAGAGGTTTATCTATCGGGAAGCCAAACGGTTTGTTGTCGAATTTCGTTTGGCCCCACACTCTCGAACTATACGTGAATTCCGAAGTCACTGGACTGATGTGAATGAAAAATTGGAAGGGCATTCCTTCCTTCTTGCCCTTTGGTAGCAACAATCTTTCTGGGAAACCGAACACCCTTTCATAATAAGTAAACGGTTCGTTACTGTCCAGGGACGATAAAATTTTTGCGTAAAACTTATCGCTCGATTCTTGATCGGGAATCGTAAAGTAGCAATCCTGGCTACTCCGTAGGATTTTATTCATCCCAGGGTTCACTGAGAAGTAAAAAGAACGAATGGATGTAAGAGTCAAAGATATAAAGAAACATAAAAATTGCCGATTAATAAAACTCACGTTCGGTGATCCAGTTGTCGATTTCGTAGAAATATTTAAAGCCGTCCGGGAACTCAAGCGGTTTGCGGTGCGCGTCGTATTTCGGTCCGAGGAAAATTCTGATGCTCACTCTCATCGGTTTGTCGGCGTTTACAGAAATGTGGAAATTGAATGGTTTGTTATTCAGACGGTATTGTTTAATTTTAATCAGCGGTCCCACTTCGCCTTCCTTCAAATCGTCGTTTAATAAACCATTGTTGATCGTTGTGTAGAACTCGTCAAAGTACGTAATCATTTTATCGACGTTGAACGATTCGATCTTTATATTAGGATAGACTATTTCTTCCTTGCTGTACGGCGGTTGTCGGAGTTTGTATCTAAAGGACGGTATCAAGCGTATTATTAATACGAATTTTACTATACTTTTGCCAAACCGTTTATAGATAATTACTTGTAGTAAAGAAGACAAATTCTCTTGTACAGGCGATAGAAGGCAGGGTCTCTCATCGAAGTAGGGGACATCTCAAGAGCGCTAGGTATAATTTGGTACTTGCTCGCTGGTTCTAAATTGTAGCCGAGTATCTTTCTCGCAAGCCTGTCTATGCTTCCGTAAAAGTTGGGATTGTAAGAGTCGGCATTGCCCTCGATTGCGTTTCCGAGAATGTTCGCGCCTTCATCGGTATAAATGTTGTACTTTTTGCTGTCATTGCCAAAAATGAAGCCGGAATCGATTGCAGACCTTATTCTCGACTCTTTATCCATAATATCCTTTAAGAAAATTGTACGTTAATCGGCTGAAGATTGTTAAACAAGATATTCAGTTACCTGGATGTATCTGTACTTGTAATGTGGAAAATCGCTCCACGCTGGTCTTTGGGGCATTGGCAACCCATTGTGGAAAGTCATGGTAGGATAATAACCAGGATAGAACGTCTTTTGCCAGTCGAAATCTTCGATTCTAGGCATGTCGTTCGAAAGTCTCTCCAGATTATATCTGTTCAACAGTAGCTTGTGCCCGTAAAGGTACTCCTCTCCGCGATAATCTGATGGCAATCCAAATTCCTTGGACTCCATCCAGAACGGCAGCGCTTGCCGGAAGAAGAAATAATAGGTGTTTAAGCCAATGTCTTCGGTAAAGTAATTCAATTTGTTCTCCAAATAGTACTCGCGATTCAAATACCAGCCCGAGTAGTTTGCTGAGATTATGTAGCTCTTATCTTCTCCTTGCTTTTCTAAAAGAAACATTATTTAAAGTCATACGATGATTTCAGAATATGAACCGACACTTGAGATGTATATTTCTCGATATTTACTTGGTATACCAAAGAGTTTTGCATGCTGAGCTCTCTCCAATACCTCAGAGTTGAAAAACAAGGAAGGGTACATTTCATACGGCGGTGGAAGCTGAATATACTTGGTATCAGGTCTTGTGAGTACTGCACTGTACAGGGCAATGCAGTACTGTCCCTCGTTCAGGTTGTTCTTGGCCCACAAAGCGGTCTTGTAGAAAGTATCAAAGTCGTTCGCGTAGTAGAACAATTTGAACAATGCTTCCATTTCTTTAAGAAGCTGTGGGTAGTACACGGAGAATATTTCTCCTCTTGGAAGCATCCCATTCTTGTACAGCAGAAGGAAATTCTTCGCTGCATCCTGGAAACAATTTCTTATATATATTCGTGAATCTGTAATGTATTCTTTTCTTGTGGATACAATTCTATTAGTGACAGGATGCTTCTCATTAATGCATCTAGCTTCCTATGAATGTTATTAAAGATAGTATCATTTACCTGATTTGAATACAAGTTGATGTTGGCTTCGATATTCCATTGTTGGCCCTCCTCGTACCAAGAACGATTCGCTTGGGCTGGCTGGGCGACGCGGTAGAGCAGATTGTAAACCTTCTTCTGTTTCAGCGCAAAGTCCTTGTCGGCTTGTTTCACGGTATAATATTCCGCACTGATCAGACCGCAGCAGACCAGCACCCCAAGCAGCCACAGTCTCGTCATTTTGCCAAAACGGAATAAGTAGAATCCCAAAGCGCGTATGACCACCGTTCAAACTCTTATAGTCCTCATCCCCTCTTCTTCTTCTATTCTCAACCACTTCGTTTTACTTATTTATCTGCAGTATTTTTATTAAGAAGCCCGTTGTCTAGGAAAGTGTCTGTAGATGTAGATAAATAATTTTTACTCTGGACTAACGCAATAATAATCGGTTTTCCTCGAAAATTTTCCTAATCAATGTTTTGCTAGTACAAGTAAAAGTCGAAATAAGAGATAATCCGGTTGACATCGAGAGTATGAATGTTAAGTTGAAAATAGAAACGAATATTGTGCGTACAACGTTGTGCAGAAAATAATCCACTACTCTCTAAATTTCGTTTTTAATCGTTTGCACACGAATTCGTAATCTCGTGTAACGACAAACACGTTTATCGGGAAGCTATTATCAAGCGAGGCAATTTAAGTTCGAACAGCTTCCACCCTTTATTACTCCGTTATTTATTCACAAAGATAGTATTGTCTAGACGATAATTCGATGTGATTTATGCCAGAAATCAGGCTTTCTTATCCGCAGCTGCTGTTTTCTCTCCTAATCATTTTTCTGGTCTCTTAATTACTATAATATTTTTATATAATGCGAATTCCCAATTATCACTCGTCCTCGGTCAGTTATCAAGCTTTCTCTCGGCTGGTGATTAGATCTAAAATGTTTGCATCTTAGTTAATCGCTATAATTCTTTTTCATTACGTGATAATGACTTTTTTTACTTGTAACGAATGCGCGTTGATATGAATATCGCGCTTATCAATTATTTGATAATGCTATTACATTTAGGAGTGTACATCATTGTATAGGATATACAGCTTCAGCTGAAGAATACTTGATGAATTCATTAGTTGGATTGCTTCCGGTTGTCTCACTTGAATCACAGTCATTGTAACGAGTGAACTTTGATTTTCATATACAATAAGAAGGGTTACATTTATGTATTAAAAATGGAGATAATTAATAAGAGAAAAAGAAGAGAAATATCTCGTGACATAGAAAGCTTAGATTTTTTTGTATAATCTTCTTGCAATTTGAAAGAGTTCAATGCCAGGTCTCTTGTTTATCTCAGGATAGGGTTTAGAGATATTATCGCAGCGTTATGGAAACATTCTTTTATTTTCTGTCTTTCTACATCTCTACAATCATCATTAGAAAATCTACTAGCTTACAAGTTAAAACGAAGAAACAAATGTTTAAACAGCAACGTTCAATTCTTCTATCTCTTTGTGGTAAACGACGACGTCTTTGACGTACATGTTGGGCACAAAAAAGTCCACAGAGTGTAAAGGCCTGTCCAGAGGATATCCCATGGGATGTCCATCGGTGACCAGTTGACCCCACACGGGAGACTCGATGTGGACGGCGTTGGTCTCGTCGAACGGCGAAACGATCACGAATAATTTGTACGGCATTCCGTCTTTCTTGCCTTTGGGCAGAAGAAGTCTGTCAGGGAATCCGTAAGGTTGATTAGAGTATTTGAAGGTTTCGCCAGAGTCTATAGCTGCTTGCAGTTTCTTGTAGAAGACGTCGCTTGGCACTTCGTCAGGGACTGTGAATATAGACTCGTGGCTGCTTCTGTCAATCGTGTTGCTACCGCTCTTCACTGTGAAGATTAGAAAAACGTATCAGTACATCATTGTATCTGTATAAGCAAGGCTCTGCATTAATCTGCTAGTAAATTATTTGATACTTACGACTGACAACAAATTCGTCCAACTGCATAAAGTTTATGTAGTTATGTTCGAGGTCCAGCTCGTGTCCGAACTCGTCGTATTTCGGTCCGATGAAGATGCGAACCATGGCTTTGGTGTTCTTGTCGCTGGTTACGGAGATGTGGTAAGTGAAAGGCTTGTGGTTCAGCCGGTGTTGGCGTGCCTTGATCAACATATTCTTGGCATCCTTATGGCTGTGCACGGACAATCCGTTGCTCAGCAGAGATTCAAAGTTGTCGAAGTAGGTAGTCAGCTTGTCCACGTTCACGGAGTCGATGGTCACTCCGGGGAAGGATAATTCCTCAGTCGTGTACTTCGGAAGGTGATGCTTGTATCTGATAAATAAATTGTTCGTTGAATAACGAGGCGAACTAAAATGCTGGTCTCGATGAAATTGTACTCGAAAGAAAAGAATTACTTGTTATAGTAAGTTAGGATGTTCTTGAAGACGCTGTAGAACACAGGGTCTCTCAAGCTAGTACTGAAAAGCTCAAGAGCAGAAGGGATCACGTGGTACTTGACGTGCGAGTCGTGACCAAATCCAAAGACCTTCCTCATGAAACTGTTGAGATGACCGTACAAATGTTCGTTAACGGTGTCGACATTGCCTTCGACGATGTTACCAAGTATGTTCAGTCCGTTGCTCGAGTAAATGTTTATCTTTTCGCCCGTAGAATCGAGCACGTAGCCGTGATCGATGGCGGTAAGGATTCTGTGATGCCACTCTTTGATGGCCTACGTTTACAAAAAATATACAATATGAAAAATGCAATTTAGAAAGAATTTCGATAATAATAAATTTCTTATGCCTCTGCTTGTAAATAAATATTGATAATCACCTGTGTGTGAATCAACAAATCAAGAGGTACAACGGCACCGGCTTCTCTTTGAGGGAACGGAAGTCCATTACGGAACTGCATGGTAGGATAATATCCGGTCTCTATGGGATGGTCCAGGCTCACATAACTGATTTCACCTAAACCGTTGCTCAGTCTCTCAAGGTAATACCTATGGAATCAATTATTATGTAATTTCGTGAAAAATGATAGTCTTCTGAGAAAACGAATTATTATACCTAGTCAAGAGTTGCTTGTGCGTGAAGAAGTAGTATTCACCACGGGTTTGTGCGACAGTGACGTGAGTAATGTTACCAGGCATGAAGAAAGGAGCATGATGATGAAGCATGAAGTAAAATGCGTTCAAACCGACGTCCTCGGTGAAGTAAGATAATTTTTGCTCATGTGTATGATGTCTGGTCCAGTACCATCCGCTGTAGTTGGCTGGGACCACAAAAGTGTCGATTCCGCCTACAGTTTTCTTAATGCCAGCTGAAATTTAAACAACACGTTTAATCCCGAAATGCCATCGTTAGAAAAATACTGTTGATGCATCGAGTACTATGTTCTAGCGGTATAAATTAATCATACTAGCTGGCATTTACTGATTAATTTCATATGTAAAAAAGATTACTTACATTCGTTGCCCATGGCGATGCTCTCAGCCTTTTGTATGACTTCATTGTTGAAGAAGAAGTGCGGGACGACTTCGTATAGCGGAGGCAGCTTGATGTATTTGGTATCTGGACGATGCATCACGGCTACGGCCAGGGCATAAGTGTACATGTACTCGTTAACGTGGAATCTGGCCCAGACAGCTGTCTTGTAGAAATCATCGAACGTTTTCGCGCTGTGCAGAACTCGGAACAGAGTCACCGTTTGGTGCCTGATGTCCGGGTCTGTCAGTGTGAAAGTCCAGCCGCGTGGAAGCATACCGTGCTTCAGCAGCTGGATAAAATTGTTCACAGCTTCCTGCAAATTAATAGAGAGAATCGTGTACATGTTAATGAAACACTTGAAACGTTGAGGGTATATCGAGAATCGTGATTCTCTACGAGAAAGTAAAATTCATTCATTATGAATCGTAACAAGGAATACAACAATCTTTTAGACGAGTAGTTTTAACGAAAGTTGCATCGTACCTTGTCATTGTAGTTGTCCACATGTTCAACGATGTTGAAGGTACGCGCCTTCTGATGGAGTTCAGGATGATAGACGGTAGGCTGGTCCACGTGCCAGAACAGTTCGTAGATATTCTTTTGTTTGGTAAGGTAGGTCTTGTCGGCGACCTGGCTAGGCAGCTGGTGCGCAGCCTGGACCGTCAGACAGAAGGCGGCCAGAGCTAAGAATGCAGTCTTCATCATGCTGATAATCACGTACTCCGAATAGTTAGGATCCTCGCTGGTCTTATATACTGCTCAAAATCGTCATTCAATAAGAGCAGGTCGATAATGATAATCATTATCGGAATAAGGTCGTGAGTTAGGGTAAGGTCACCAGGGTGGTAAGAAGTAGATGAGATTAACGTGTCGCAACTTTTTAGTATCACCAACTGCAATTTTGATTACACCTGGCTTATCGCCACTTTCGTAATTTCATTAAGAAAGCATCATTGCAGCGCAGGTGTATACATATAGTAGAATGATATATTCTAATGTGCAAAGTCGTTGACTATTACCTATGAGATTGATTCGATTAAAAGTTGTATGCTTGCATATCTCGTGAACTCTTTTTCTTTTTGTTTCTTGTTATTGTAAATGTCATCGAATGCGTGATCTCATTATCTGCACGCAAGTTGCGACTGATGAATTAATATTTGTATGTAAACTGATTATTATTGGCCTCAATTTTATTTTCTTCTTCTCCGATAAATTGTATCGTAATAAAATACAACAAAACGCGTTCTTATTATGTAAATACAAACAGGGGATACTAGAACCTTCTGCAGTATTTAATGGTAGAAATAAATTACACAGTATTTAGGATTCAGTCACGTACTAAACTTTATTTAAAAAATATAGGTCCTCGTATAAACTTTACGCTATATCACATTTTCGATTACGTTGATCAATAAAAATAACTTACATATTATAAATATACTTATTATATACAGCTAACGATATAAAAAGAGCATAGATCTAACGTTAGGAGAAACAAGTTGCCTTAATAATATTTTAGAAATTACAAACAGTTTGTTCACTGTTCTGTGTACAAAAAGCAGTGCTAGCTTCTTTTCGTTATGGATCTTCGGCTTTACGACCTTTTTATTCTCACACCAGATGAACTGGGAAAATTTTCGAGTTTCGAATGGCCTCCAAGACCATTGTATGTAATATTGGTTTCCAGTGATCGCTAAATAAAATATGAATTAAGTATCACGAATTTCTGATAATTCCATAAAAGTGAAACGGGACTTACAGTTTGTACATTTCCTTGTTGTTCGATCCGCGGCTTCTTCGTCAGAATCGATGAACTTTTTACTACGTCCCGTTTTGGAAGACGTTTCTCTAAATTATATATTCCCATAACATTCACGGGAAGGAACGGAGAAGTTGGTACATGGTCCTGCAAAACCAATTTGATTTTAATGTAATGTAAAGATCAGAGTACTATTATAAAAACTGTTTTAATTACATGAGAGGTAGAGCTGTCGTTGAAATCAGCTTTTACATTTTGTACCCTTAGCGGTTTGCTAGACTTGACACAAGGTTTGCTGCTCGACGCAACGACAGGTTTCCGATTACAGCAAATATGTGATGTCTCCGGTGAACCTTGTTCCCTCAGATCTTTGATCTCGTTCTCTAAACTCATTATTTTACTTTCGTACGTCAGGACCTCTTGTTCCAGTTTCCTACAAATGTGTTAGGTTCTTTATTCGATCCAATTATTTTCTTAGTTCATCAGAGCTTTCACATACTTTCTTTTTGCTTGCTCCTCGGTTAAGAAGTTTCGTTCCATAGTCACTTTAGATAATTCTTGTTGTATAACCCTCATTTTACTCCTCCATTCTCGTCGTCTGTCCATTGTAATCAGCAGTTCTCTAAATTCAAGAATTAATCAGAATAAAATATAAACATGTAGAATATCGTTGAGTACCTTTTCAACGCAGCTATGTATGTAGCAAGTGAGTTTCGATCCTGCGAACTTAGTAATATTTCTTTGACTTCTTTCTCTGAACCCTGGAGCAATTCTTGTATACTTAAAAAGGCAATAATGAACATTATCATTAAACAATAATTTTATAGCATGTACTAAAGAACTGATTTGCATACTTCTTATAAGTTTGAAGTTTATTTTTCACACTGGCGAGCTCCTTGTTTGTTTCTTCTACCTGCGTTATTTGTAGCTTAAAGAAGTTTATTTGATCTTTGTAAGCATGAATAGCTGTGTCTTTGGTCTTTAATTCATGTTCTACTTTGGTCACTTCTTTCCTCAACTTTGCAGTCTGTTTTTCTAAGTTTTCACTTTTTTCCAAATAATGCTTCACATCTTTCTCCCTCATTGCAAGATTGAATGTTAATTTATCAATTTTATCTTGCAAAGAGCATGTATCTTCAGTAACGGAATCATTATTTGAAAAATTAAAGTACAGCCTATGAATTTTGTTGGCCGTAGTCTTTTCCCTGCACTGTGGACATGTTTTAGATCTGTTAAGAAAGAGATTAATTCAGACATCGGGATTGAGAACCTGTTGTTTTACGTTCAAAATTAAGCTCATATTTCACCTTTCTAACCATTGACATAAGCATGCATAATGAAATATATGCCCACACGCTGTGTGAAAAATATCGTCCGATGGAACTAATAAGTCTCTGCATATTACACATACAATGTTCATCTTGCATATGATTATCAACGAACTGAAATATGCACAAATTTCTATTTAACAGATTAAATTAAACCTAAACGAGAATACCTATAGACATTGTCAAATATAAAACGACGAAATTTTACCTAGTCACGGTTAGAAACGGTTTGACGGTTATTCACACTTTCGCAGTATGTGAAATACGTTCGAGGGTTAAGACTTAAGACTTGAGGCATTTCAATACAGCGCCGTGCGATGAGGAATGATGAAACTTAGGTTTCACCTGCAAGATCCACGAAGGGGAGATTACTGAAATTTTTTTTCATCCCAGTGAAAAATGCTACAGACAAAATTTGTAGGTATAAAACTTGTCAGCTATAAATAAGGTCGTATGCAAGTTCCCTGTAGGAACAACGAAATCTTTTTGCCGATACCGGTCAGATGCTGGTCGATCGATATTATGCGGGTCTCGATCGTAATCACCATTACCTTTGTATCATTTCGGAAGTATAATATATAGATATTTTGAGCGGTTTTTTACGTATAATACTCGCGTTGCGTTCTAATACATTATTTGTCTGAAATTTCGTTCAAAGTATCATTAATTCTAACGTGCAAAGGCACGGGCTCACTGCTCTTCAGAAGAAATGGTACCAAGCGGAGAACTACGCTTACAGTTTAAAATAATCCAAGTATGTCTTGACAAAGTTTAATTCACGCAAACATTTAATAGCAGTGCATTTAAATTCATTCACCTCTCGTGACACATACGTGATACGTTATCTCTTACACATTATATTACACACATATTATTCTCCTATATTTTGTTTATACAACATTCGAAGGAGGGGCAATGAGAAAGATATGTTTTATACTTCAAAATTCTTTATTCGAATCTGTTGCGATATAAATTCGTTAAATACAGAATCATCGTTTGCATGGGATATAATTTTCTTCAGTAGTTCATCCTTTCCTTGTCTGCGTACTGACGGTTGTAAATGTACACGTCTTTGAAATACATGTTGGGGATGGTGTAGTTCCAAGCCCACATGGGTCTGTCTAACGGGAAACCGAAAGGTTTTCCGTCAAGTATCACCTTGCCGTACATCGGTATCGTAAACGAGGCGCCGGCACCTTCTTCGTACTGGCTGAAGAAGAAGAACATCTTGAACTTCAGTCCCTCAGGTTTACCGCGCGGCAGAGTCAGACGTTCGGAGAAGCCGAACATTTTCTCGGAGTACATAAACGGCTCGTTTCCGCTGATCGCGTTGTTCAATTTATCGTAGAACGCGTCGCTAGACATCATGTCCGGAGCCGTGAACAGAGATTCAGAGCTGCGACGTTCGATCGTGTTCATTCCAGGGCGCACTGTAAAAAGCATTAGTATTTCGATTATTAATAATTCTTCAATCTTGCGAGTCTTTAAGGATGGGATGAATCTTGTGTATAGACGAAAGTACTTACGGTTCACGGTGAACTTGTCCATTTCGTAGAAGTAGTAATAATATTTCTGCAGATACTCCATGTCTTCTTTGACGTCGTCGAAGGCCGGTCCGAGGAAGATTCTGAGAGTACCCTTTATCTCTTTGTCGCTGTTCATGTTGATCTTGTACGTGAACGGTTGATAGTTGAGGCAGCTACGACGAGCCTTCAGACGAAGGAACATTCCGTATTTGAAGTTCTCCACCGATGCTGCGTTATTAATCAGAGTGTCGCATTTATCGAAGTACGTGTACAGTTTGTCCACGTTCGTCACCGATTCGATTTTCACTCCAGGCACTTGGAGCTCGCTTTGAGCGTACTGCGGCTGGAACTTCTTGTATCTGCGATTAAAAAAGAAGAATTAATTGTACATAAAATCGTCAGAATGTTTGGAAGTTGAAACGAACGTATCTCACCTCATGAAGTATGTCATGATTCTCTTGTAGAGCATATAGAAGGCCGGGTCTCTCATGCTAGTAGAGTAACATTGAAGTGCGCTAGGAATCACGTTGTTCTTGTTCTCGTAGTCGAAGCTGAAGCCGAGGATGTCGCGTGCCAGGGCGTCGTACATGCCGTAGAATCTCTTATTGCACGAATCCATGTTTCCTTCAATCACGTTGCCGAGGAAGTTCAACCCTTCTGGAGTATAGATGTCGATCTTCTTGCCGCGTTCGTCTATCAAATAACCGGAGTCGATAGCGTCCATTATGCGCATCTCCAGGGCGTTGATCTCCTGAACGATTAACAAGTTCCATCATAAATATGCAATAATAATTGCATTCAATTTTATATCCTTTAATCTATCAATGACTGGTACTTACTTTAAGATACTTGTACTTGTAATACGGCACGTTGGAGTATCTGTTTCTCGGGGGTAGAGCGATACCATTGGGGAACGTCAAAGTAGAGTAATATCCAGGGTAAATAGGTTTGTACCAATCGAATTCGTTGATCCTGTCTAGACCGTTTGATATTCTCTCGAGGTAGTATCTGGCCATCAGTTGCTTGTGGAAGTAATAATAGAACTGTCCTCGGAACTCCTTGGGTATACCGTACTTGTTGCTGCTCATCCAGAACGGGAACAGCTGTCTCATGTAATAGTAATACGAGTTCAGACCGATGTCCTCCATAAAGTAGTCCAATTTGTACTCTTCGTCTTGGTATGGCATCACGTATTTGCCGGAGTAGTTCGCGTTCACCATGTAGGTCTCGATATTGTTCATACCGCTGCTCGCGCTACCACCTGAGAACAATTAGATTAGAATCGTCGTTAGAAGAGAGTAAAATAAATTTAGTTCCCTGGAATCTGTCGGTTTCGTACGGAGGACAATCCCTAGCGTACTTCAGTGTTACTGTATCAGCATGAAAACGAACCTCTGGACATTTTCAGGTACTGCGCTTCTTGTATCACGCTGGAGTCGAAGAAGAAATTGGGGAAGATCTCGTAGATCGCGGGCAGCCTCATGTACTTGCAGTCAGGCCTGTAGAACACCGCTATCGTGAACGCGTTCGTGAACATGCCGGCGTTCATTCTTAGCCGGGCCCAGCAGGCGGTCTTGTAGAACGTCTGGAAGTCCTTGGCATTGTAGAACAGCTCGAACAGCATCTTCATCTCGTACAACTGTTCCTTGTTGTACGGCGTGTAGATCGCGTCGCGGGACGTGAACATGCCTTGCTTGTACCACCACAGGAATTTCTCTACGACATTCTGTAACAGAGAGTCGGTTGTGTCTCGCTGTTTCATGAGTGCTGAAAGGTTTCATCGTGATACCTTGTCTTTGTACACGTCGATGTTGTTCTCGAGGTTGTAGTTCTTGCCGATCTCGTACCATTCGGCGTCGATCAGGTCCGCCTGTTTCACGTATAGGAGAAGATCGAAGATCTTCTTCTGCTTGTTGAGGAAGTCCATGTCCGCGGTACGAGAACCGGTGTAAGCGGCGGCATCCGCGGTCTTCGCCACGGCGCATAGTGCGCCGAGCGCAATTAACAGCGACAGCTTGTGCATGTCCACAATTAATAGACTGAGAGGAGGAGAATCGATCACCTTCGGCTTCGATCGTTATTGTACCGGTCTACGGCTCACCGGTGGCTTTTATACTTAATTCGAATAGGGTAATCACGGTAAACCTCTGACCTAATCCATAGTGATATCGTGTGTCATCAATAACGTGTATATTTGTACACGGTTTGATTATTAACACGCGAGCCTTTAGAGGGAGATCCATTTTTTTATTTTGTTCAAAGCGAGGGTGATAGGAGCGAGATTTAGGGAAGAGATACGTTGCTCGTTCCAAATAGGGATCACTATTTCTCGTATTGTCTATTAAGAATTCTAGCTATCTTTGTTTCATTTTATTTGGAAGCTAATAAATCTCGTTCGTTTATTGCTCTCGCGAATTTTCCGATCTCCCACCCCGCCGTGGGAGATGCTGTTTGCGTGGAAAGTTCTTCTGCGGTCACCTGATTCTCGGTAAATATTTCTCTATTTTCTCTCGCCTCGAACCGGTAAATATTTTAAGAGGAGATAGGAATAATATTTTAACAACGAGCAAATCATAGATAAACATATTCCGCTCATTTCGCGAATAATAATCTCTAGTTCGCAATTCATAAAGTTTCGTCTAAAAAAATAGGAGTGATGTATCATAATTTTCTATCGGTTCCGCCTAAAATTCGTTTGATACGACGAGTAATTTTTCAAGTAGGGACGATTTTCCTTTTTACAATATCGAAATACTCATTCCTGCGCGTATCTCATTCATTTTGGTCGCGTTTCAGCAGATTCGTTGCCCTCATTCGTTCATTTTCTTTGCATTCCAACTGTTTTATTACATCAGCCTCTATGTAACTTATGATGCTGTTAGCGTATTTATTACATCATTTTTCTTCACTTCCTCGATAACTCTTCCGGCAACAGTATTATCCTTTACGTTGGCTTCATTTCCTCTTCTTGAACGCGATTAAAGTTATTTCAACAATTTCATTGAATTCTCGTTCGATTCTACAGAGCGTAAGTCTTTGAAATACAGCGCCGTCTTCCTCGTCACGTATCGTACATTGTGAAGAAGACTGTATCGTGGAATTTTAGAGCGTACAGAATGTTTTTATTGGAAATATTTATTTTTAAAGTACGAGCTCAGTTGGAACTTCGCTACGACATTATTAAGATTAATATATTAAGTAATTTTCCATTTATCTGCCACGTGCGGGCCTCTCCTCGTAAATACGTTCGTTTATGTAAAAAAAGAAAGAAAAAAAGAAGAAGCCTCAGAGACTTGTTGTTCGAAGGTACTACGCATACATTAAAATAAGGTATTGACCCAAGCTTCTGTAAATTTCCATAGCTGTACCACCAAAGCTTGGGAAATTATCATCACGTTCACATTCTAATTTTAAAAGCGAACTTTCTTCCTTCCCTTTCGGAGAGCCTCGTACGATTTTATCTTAAGAGAAATCAGGGGTGTGTGTCAACGTCACGATAAGAAAGAACAGACGTGAATTTCGAAACGAGTTAGGGTTTATCACTTTACGTTTCTGCAAGCCGACGAATAAGGAGAGGAAAGTTTATCTCTGTGCAATTCGATAAATCGTCGAAAGGAAAAATCGTACGATCGCATGGACCTAACAACACTCAGATCCATAATTCCATGAACACTGAATATATTTTTAATCAACGGCAAATTGTTATTGCAGAATCGTGGCTGAATTCAATCTATTGAAAATCGTAGCTGGTAAATTTTGATTGATACGATGATAGTATACATAGAAGATCTATATTAAATTCTAATCATAAGAGTAGGAGGATGGATCTGCCACTGACAGAGAAGGATAT